CCCCCACAGGCCCCGCCCACTCGTGGCCCCGCCCCAGCAGGGCCCGCCTACAATCCTGCCCCGAGGCAGCCCCACCTCCCCCACAGGCCCCGCCCGCTCGTGGCCCCGCCCCACCCTGCAGTTCTCCCCTCCCCTCCCCCACCAAGTGCCAGAGCCAGGGGCACACCCTGCACGAGGCTGGCTGGGGGCCCTGGGCAGAAGCACAGTCCCGGGCACCAGGTCCTCGTCTGTGAGGGGAGACCAGGACACTGAGCCGCCCATGCACGCAGGCGCTGTGAGGACCAGGAGCCCCGGGTGCCAATGCGGAAAGGCTGGACCGCGGGGGCCTCTGGGGGTGGGGAGGGGGTGATTCACGGGATAAATTGGGGGGTCAGGGCTGGGACGAGGGTCCAGGGGGAGATGGGAGCCAGCGCCCCCTCCCCCCGCCCCGAGTGCGGGGAGCAGCCCTCTGGTGGGCCGTGTGAACCAGCTTGATGGGGGACAGGGACAGTGTCCCAGACACCAGACTCCAACCTGGGGAAGTGCTTGTTTCCCAGATGTCCCACCCACAGGGCAGTGAAGGTGTCTCGGAATCTTTCCAGAATTTCCTGGGTTACGGCAACAGGCGTCAGCGCGTCTGCAACACAGGTCGAAGGGTGATAAGACGTAGGCGCTCTGCCTCCCCCGTGGGACACTGAGGGGCCACAGGAGCCGCGGGCCCTGAGTTGTGTGGGGGTGGCCCTGGGGTGGCCCTGGGGTGGCTGTGGTGTGACCTGGTGCGCAGGGACAGGGGCGTGGTGGAGTCAGTGCTTGTGGAAACGTCAGTGCTCCTTCCCTTCCCTAAGAACCAACTCAGCAAAGAAAACTCAGGGAGCTTCTAGAGCTACAGGGGACAGCATCAAGGGGCCCCAGCCTCCTTCAGGGCTCATTTGTCATACAGCTGACGTCCCGACTGGGGTGTGACGGCAAGGGAGGGCGTGGTGGCACAGGGTGCACGTCGGGCCAGGGGACCCGCCTCCCCTGCGTGGTCAGTGTAAAGGGAGGCAGCCGAGAGCAGAGGCCGAGCTCTGAGCCACGCTTCTCCGCGCCGGAGCCCCCAGGGCGGGGTGTGTTGCGTGTGCGCGTGCGGAGGGGCCCGTGAGAGGCACCTGCCTGTGACCTGGGCCTCCCCGTAGGGGTCCACGATGACTGGGTCTGGGTTAAGGAGAAACAGCCCACACGCTCGGGTGTCTCTGGCGGCGGGGCCGATAAAGGATACACTTGAAGTTGTCAGGGTCCACCAGGATGCAGTCCGGGGGGATGAGCCGGGGCGCGGCGTTCTGCTCCACAGACAGGGGTCTTTAGGGGCCCTGTGGCCCGCAGGCGGGACCCCAGACCCCCAGGCCCTCTGCCTGTGGCCAGCGGGGCCTCATCCGCCCACCTTGTGTCCCTTCCTGGCTGGGTTTCTCTTCCTGGACTCTCTGCCTCTGCTCTCCTTCTTCACGGCCCCGTCGGCTGCGGACAAGAAAAGAAGGGGGTGTTTGAAGCCAGTCGAGGCGGAGGCGCGCGGCGGTAGGAAAGCACTACATGTCCCCGAACCGTTCACTTTAAAATCATTAACTTTATATCCTGTAAATTTCATCTCAATAAAAAAGCCCCAAAAGTAGTGAGAACAACTGATTTTAATTTTTGTAAAGTTTCGAGAGCGGCCATTTCTCAAATGTAAAGGCTTGCAGGGCGGGAAAGGCCGAGCCGGGAGACCTCACCAGAGGCCCCCCGGGGCTGACCAGTCACACAGCGTGCGGGGCACCCGCCAGGTGCTGCCGTGGGGCCCCCGTCACAGGGCCGGGCCCCGCCGGCTCCCCCAGCTCCTGCGCGAGGACTCCCACGGCACTGCTCTGCTGGCTTGCACGTTCCTTCGGAGGTTCCAGAAATGACGGCAGTTTACTTCCTCTCTTTCGGCCTCTCATTCCTGCGCGTGCACCCACATTCCAGGAGGGAAGAGCGAGGCTCTGGCTGTGCCCTGTGTGCCATGCTGTCAAGAAGGAGGCTCACTCGGCACCTGGACGGGCCCTTCCATCCGGTGTTCACTCCACCCCGGTGTGCTAAGAATTACTGTTACAAATGCGTTCATTTCAACAAACGATGTTTTTCTGCAGTGACTAAGATGCTTATTAAGTTTGTGTTCCCGTGGTCTAATTTAATGACACTTGTACACTTTCAAGGTCAGACTGGGTAATGAAAGTTACATTTTTCTTCCTTGTGCTGTTCTTAGCAGTTTGGGTGTGAGGGGCCACGGAGGCCCGAGGGGCGGCCCTTTCCCCTGTTCTCAGGGAGATTTGTTAGGACTGACATCAGCTGTGTCTGGAAAGTCTGATAGATTTCAACAGGGGACGTAAATCCACTGTCCCTTCTCTTCATTGTTAGGAGGCCGAGTGGTTTTCCTCCTCGAGTCCCCGAGCTGTTTTTTCCCAGGACCCGTCCTGTCCGCTTTGCCTGAGTGCCCGAACATATTCCGGAAGTTGCTTACAGTGCTCTCTCACCATCTTTCAAATCTCGGAAGCACCTTTACAGTCAGAGTCTCTTTTTACTTCCCACATTGTATATTTGTGCCCCACCCATGTTCTTCTTGATCGTTCTCACCAGAATGTGCCTATTTTATGAGTTTGTAAAAACTTCCCTCCGCCTTCTATTTTGCCGGCGTTTGCTCAGGTGCTTCCTGCTCCCTCTCCTCTGCTTTAGATTCTTGTGCTGTTCTTGCTCCAACCCTGTAAAGTCCACGCTTACCTTCTGCACTTCCAGAGACTCCAGGAGGCTCGCACCTTCTGCGATCGCTTCTCCTGAGTCCCATGAGATATGCAGGAGTGTGTTTTTAAATTTCCAAACGGGGATTCAAGAAAGCCGCCTTCTGGTCGCGGTGTCCACGCCGACCACGCTGGTGTCGGCCGGCAGCTATGACGGCCCCGGAAGTAGCGCCACATGTTCTGAGCCATCAACTGTTATCGCTGCATAACGACCCCGCCCCATAATGCTTGTGGCTGTGGAGTCCGTGGCACATGGCGGTGGGCAGCTGTCCCTTCCGGTCACTGTGACCATCTCTTTCTGACGCGGGGCGCCTCCACGTTGTTAGAGGCAGCCTCCACCTCTGCCCGTCTCTCCTTGACCCGCTGCCCCCATCTTAGAAGGACGTTTTGGGTCCTGGCCGCTATTAAAATGCCACCAGAAGTTTTCATTGCTCTGACCGCCTTCCCTGGAGTCTCTGCTCTACTTCTTGTGGTGGGGGCTTCTGGAAACTTCTGGACACATGGGATTACCATCTTTTTTCAATTCAGGGGGAGGGAAATTAATTCCAGGACTCCCCTCCCAGGGCTCGGGCCGTGGCGCATCGGGCTCCACATCCCCCGTGGCCCCCTCTCGGGGCCCAGGCTCCGTGCCTGCTCTCGGGCATCAGAAAGCCACTGATCCCTCTACATTGCTGTTTCCCTGCTTTCAGTCCGAAGGGCAGATGTGGCCCTTGTTACTTTATCCATGATGCCAGTGAAAGTCCAAACTTTTTGTTTTCAGTTTCCCTTCACACTCACTGAAGTGCGGCGTGCCCGCCCAGGACAGCAGGGAGCGCGGCCCACAGCCAGGAGGGTCTTCCCAGACCCGGCACATCTGCGTGACAGGCGCCCACGGACAGGCCACGGTCAGCCCAAGTCTGCGGCTGCCCCCAGGCCTGAGTGCCCCCCACTTCAAACACGAGTGTGCAAGGCCATGACCGATGCGCAGTGCCCCCTTCCGTGAGCCTCACTGGCACCTGGCACATAGTAGGTGTAATACCTCGAACCCCCACCACCTAGACACAATCTGCCACGTTCGATGACAACTGTTTGGCAGGAGTCCACGTAAAGGAAGCTTAGTCCATTTTGAAATTAAATATCAGTGTGGCCAAGGGTCCCTCTTACCTGTCTCGTCTTTACGGAGCCGATTCCACAGCATCTGCAGGGAAAACTCCCGCGACACGGAGACCACCCCTTCCTCAAACACAGAGAGGCCTTCCAGTGGCAGCTCCAGAAGATGCCGGTCCGCAATAAGGATGATGTTGTCCGCAGCCTCAGGCTGAACTGTGGCAGCGCCGGCTACAAAGGACACAGGAGCCGGGCTCCCAAGGATGCGCCAACCCCCGGGCGGGCCTGCCTGTCGCCCCCGGGCAGGCCTGCCCATCCACTGGAGACACAGGAAGGCGTCTGAGCTTGGCTCAGCTTGTGACGGTGGGAGAGGGGGAGGGGCACACGGGGCTGTGTCCGGGGCAGGACGCTGCTTTTGACGGCATAGCCGAGGTCACAGGGTCGTGGGCTCGTCTGTAGTTCTGGGACCTGCCTCCCGGGGCAGGTGCTGGAACCCGTGACCCCTAACCAGGGAGCCACCTTTCAAAGGATGAAGGCTTGCACCTGAGACGTGGCAGCTTCTCCAGGTGGCCACGGAGCCCTTGGAGAGCGGTGGGACCTGCTTGGCCTGTTAGACCAAACCTGCTCTTTCTGACGGGGGTAAGCGGTACCAGGGCGAGGCCACTAGACACTTGAGTTGAATTTACTGCATGTACAACGTAAAACAAATTGGTTAAGTGCGCCAAGGGGAAGTTTTACGGCAGAGTCTCGGTGGACAGAGGTGACCGCGGTGGCCTGACTCTGGCCTCTCACCTGGAGTGAGAGCATCAGTGCTGCCCCCACAGCCGCGCGCACCCCCCGCCCTGAGCTGCAGTCTGACTGCGCAGCCGCAGGCGCTGCGACCCGCGAGCCCCGAGTGTGGGCAGCGCCGCGCGGGGAGGGGGCCCCGGCGGGGCTTCTGGATCGAAGCTCCTTTCCTTCCCACTCAGTGACCCCATGTGGGCGTCAGAAAAGGAGACAAATGAAAATGCCTCTGAAAACAGCGATGTACACAATCGCAGTCGCGCTGGGAGACAGAGCCACACGCCACACCCCGCTCTGGCCGCGGGGCTGGAAGACGGGGCCAGCTCGTTTCCCACATTTTCAAGCACATCGAGTGGGAAACCAGAGGGGCTGTTCTGACCGCGTGGAGGTGACCAGGAAGCCTCCGAAGCTGGGGTGCCCAGACCAGTGCGCGTCTTCCTTCACTCAGGAACCAGCAGGTCCCGTGCAGAAGCTCGTGTCATCGGGGCGCGGGCTCCCGAGGGGGAAGGGCACGTGCCGCCACGCGCCGCCGGCCCTCCCAGGAGGCGCGGGTCTGTGGGTCCAGTGATGTGGTCCCTGGGGGCGCTGGGGCTTGGGGCACACGGGCCCTAGCGGGGACCTTCTCACGCCCTGGGGGTGCTCAGCGCCCTGGGAGACCCTCAGGGGAGGCCTGCTTCTGACCCACCGGGGGCCTCCCAACCCAGCTTCCCCTCCGCGCTCCCACTCACCCTGGGGCAGGGACCCTTTCCTCTCCTTGTCTTTGCCCTTCGGTCTCCCCGAATCTGCAACAACTGTGGGCGTCTGTGTTCTGGAGGTCAAAGGCACATCCTCAGGTTTTTAAACATACATGAAAACCACATGTACTACGTAAGAACATAAAGAACATCTCTCTGGACAGTCTCACATCAGGGCAGTGAGTGTCACTTCTGGGGGGCCGACTCACTGAGATGGGGGCCGGGGCACCTGGGCACAGATAGAAGCAAACAGGACTCCGGGTTTTCTCTCACCGGCTGGCAAATCTAAAAAGAACCATGTGCCCAAGGCCTCTGCCTTCTTCTCTACCAGGAATAACTCAAAGGGGCTCAGGACCCCGGGCCAGGCACCCCACTCCCACCCTGCACGAGCACCAGGCACCGCAAGGGCAGGGGGCAGAGGGGACCTGAGTGCTGAGGACGCTCCCCCAGAAAAGATTCTCCGCAGAGTCCAGCCTTCTCCCTGTGGCAGAGGCCCTGAGTCGGGCAGTCTGGATTTGAGGGCCCCTTTGTGCATTTTCCATTTGAATTTAGCACAGTCGGATTTAGAGCAGCGCAAAGCTCATCGACTTCATAGCAGAGCCTCGAACCTCTGGGCGGGAACGATGCCCAGCCACCCCACGGCCAGCCACTCAGCTCGTGCTGGGATTCGGGGAGGCTGGGGTGAGAACCGGCCTGCAGGCTGAGCCCCCGGCCCTGGCCACCCTGGCCCCTAGGCGTCGTATTCCTGACTGTCCCCAGAACCACTCCTGAGAGTGGAAGAGAGGGTGACCCTCTTCCCTGTCCCAAAGAGAGTGCTGGACTTTGTGCCCGAAACCCGCCCCCGCCCGGACCAGCACCTCTAGCTAGCACTGCCCTGTCGCCTCCCCGCCCCCGCCCCCACTCTGGCCTCCCGGGATCCGCGGTCAGCCCACGGCAGGTACCTGGCCTCGGGGCTGCTGAGCATGGGGAGCAGCGGCCTCAGGTACTCCTCCATGGACGTCAGAACTTCCCGCAACTTCTGCAGAGACTGTTCTTCCCTCTCGTGGCGCTGGTGCGCGTTTTCCAATCCCTGCCTCAGCCCAGACACCAGGCCGTGACCACAAGCGTCTCAGGGCCCCATAAAATCCCAGCCCAGTCAGAGCACAGAGTGAGCAAAGCCGCGCAGGACCCTCCGGGAGGGGCCCAGCTCAGCTGCGCATCAGGCCCCTTGCGCCCCCCCACCTGCCTCAGCCACCGGGCCGGCAGACGCCCCTCGGGCCCTGCCCGGCACCCCAGCGCCACCGGCTCCTCCGCTCACAGCACGGAGGCACCCGCACCAGACTCACTCAAGGGGTCAGAGAGGAATCCGCCGTCCTGTGGGGACCCCAACCTGGGTGTCCAGCAGAGCCTGGGGTCTGGGTGGCTGGTGCCGCTCACCTAGCCCTCTCTCCCCAACCCCCACCCCCACCCCGCACTGCAGCCGGGCCGGGTCCTCGTCTCCCCGCACGGCGGGAGCAGCCCGTGCAGCTGGACCCAGGGGCCTCACCGTGCTGGAGTTCACGGCCACGTCCTCACTGCTCTCCTCCACCTGGGCCAGCTCCCGGAACTGCTGGGCGCTGGCCAGTAGGCAGGAGAAGGTGGCGGGGCTCACAGCCACCCGTGCCACCTTGCAGAAGCCTGTGGGGATGGACACCGCCGCTGTCCCCACCCCACAGCCTGAGGGCTGAGGACAGACGGAGGGGGGGCTGTGGTGAACACTGCGAGTCCACACACACGGGCACTCGTGGCGGCCGTCAGAGTGGGGACTCAGATGGGTGTCCCCCAGTCTACGGCCTTCCTTAGTTTTCAGTGAAATGGGAGGTGGAATTATGTGCCTGAGGAGTGAGGAAGAGTGTGGGGCTGCAGTGTTTCCTGGGAGAAGAAATGGTGGCGTGAGGGCGACCCAGGGAGGGCCGGCTGAGGCTGGGGCCCGGCCCCGGAAACACAGGTCTCTGCCCACATGCCCGTCTCTCACAGGCTCAACGACCCCCACCCAGCAAGCCTCCTCCCCCCGTGGAGAAAGGCAGGTCCAAGTCTGTGTGGGCCGTGACTGCCCCTGCGGGGGCCGCAGTGCCCCCCGCCCCCCCACCGAGGACCGTGTTTGAGGAGCACCTCCTGCAGCGGACTCACCGCCCACTTGGAGCACCTTCCCTTTGGCCGCAGGCACGGACCTGGGTCTCTCGTAGACGGCGCCGTACAGATGGGTCCTGTTGCCAGGGTGCCGGGCAGGGTCAGAGCCCAGCTCGTGGGAACTCAGGAGCCCGTTCTGCAGGCCACACACACCCGGGCAGAGCCCCCTCCCCAAGCACACCCTGGCAGAGCCCCCTCCCCACCGGTGCCTTGGCCAAGTCAAGGCACAGAATTGAAACAGACCCATCTGGGCACAGACATCCGCCGAGAGCTGTCTGCCTTCTGTCTGCTCGGGAGGCACACAGGTGGGGAGGAGGGTGGCAGTGTGTCCCCGTCACGCCAGCCTGGCGGGTGCCGCACCCACCGCATCTCAGCCTGGAGCGCCTGCCGGCTGACACGCCCTCCATCGTGACGGCGCCCCCCCGTCCCCAGTGACAGTGCTGTGTCCAAGCTGCCTGCTAGACTTCTTAACAGGGTGGCCGATGTCCCCGGAGCAGGAACAGGGAGGCCTTACCTGTCTCGGCTGTGGTGCAGGAAGATGATCCGAAAAGTAGGCGGGATTTCATTCAGGATGTTAAAATGCTGCTCAGTGACCCAGAGATTTTGCCAAGCCTGTGTGTGACAGACAGGCATCAAGGGGCCGTGCCGGACGCTGGCAGTCCCTGAGCTGTGCTCACAGACGCCTTGTGCGGGGCCTCCCGCTGGGGTCTGCGCAGCCGGCCTGGGGGCAGAGTGCGCACGCAGCCTCCGCTAGGGTCCACCCACCTTCCAGCCTCTTCTGTGGCCAACTTGACCTGAGCCGCCCTGTCCGACACAAGCAGGCCTGAGAGCCCAGACAGGTAACGGATGCGAGGCCTCCAGCCACTCAATGTCTCCCCTCTGTTCCTCTGCCGGGTCCCCTGAATGCCACGGGTGTGGACACACGCATGTCCCTGTCCCCGGGCGCACCGGCTCCGAGGGGCACCGGCTCCAAGCTCCCCATTCCGGCTCTGAGGTGACCCCCACTCCAAGGACCACCCTCAACTCCGAGGCCCCGCCTCGGGCTCTGTGGCCCCCGCTTCCGGCTCCCGGGCACACCGGCCCCCCCCACACCCTCCGCAGCCGAGCGGCCCACACGCTGTGTCCACCACACTTGCTACGGAAACCAGCTGCGTGTCTGCCAGCGCCTGCGGCCCCTCACTCACGTCCGGGTGTGCAGGCCGGGCAAGGCCCAGCGGCGCCCCCAGCCCGGAGCCCCAGGCCAGCGACACGGACGCCACGCCAGGGGGCCGCTGCCTCCACGCAGCCCGCCTCAGGGTGCCCGGCTCCTGCGGCGCCCGCTTCGCTTCGGGGCCCCCCGCGGGCCTGGTAGCCTCTGAGCGCAGTTTCAGTTTTGCGTTTCTCTAATAACCAATGAAGTTGGTGCCATTAAAAATGTTTATTGACCGTTTTCAGTGAAATTCCACTCTTGTAACTTTTTTCTGTGAGGAGTGTCTTTTTCTTCCCGAAGGGAACACATGCCTGGCCTCTCCTCCGGCTGGTTGTTTCAGTTTTCATTCAAATTCCAGTGTAGTCAGCGCTCGCTTCAGGTGTACAGTAGGTGACGCTACACCTCCCTGCCCGCCGGTGCCCCTCACATGCTCCCCCCTCCCCCCACCCCCCTCACCGGGCGGCCCCCTCACCCCCCCCCGCCCCGTGACCAGCAGCGTTTCCTGTAGTCGAGACTCTGTTTCTTGGTTTGTTCTCTGTCTCTTTTTCCCTTTACCGTTTGGTTTGTTTCTTAAATCCCACCTGTGAGTGAGGTCATAGGGTATTTGTCTGTGACTGACTTGTTTTGCTCAGCACACTCCTCTCCAGCTCCATCCACGTCATCGCAAATGGCAGGATTTCATTCCTTCTGTGTCTGAGTCATATTCCCGTGCATGTGGACCGCCTCTTCCGTATCCGTCCATCAGTCGGTGGACACCTGGGCTGCTTCCAGATCTCAGCTACTGGAGATAACGCAGCTATAAACAGAGGGGTCATGTGCCCCTTTTCATCAGTGTTTTGTATTTCTTGGATAAATACCCAGCGGTGCAATTACTGGATCACAGTACTTGCCTTAACCTCTCTGAGGAGCCGCCACCCTGTTCCACAGCGGCTGCGCCAGTTTGCATTCCCGCCGCCAGTGCAGGAGGGCCCGTTCCTCGCGTCCCTGCCCACACCTGCTGTTTCCCGGGTCACTGACTTCAGCCACTCTGACGGTGTGAGGGGACACGCTTGCTTTCTGACTCCCAGCAGGCACCATCTTTTCAATGAGTCCACGTCCTTCGTTTCCACGCAGACCAATTTACCATCCGTCCCTTTTGTGACGAGCACTTCTGGTGGCCTGTTTCATTTCTACCTACTCCTAAGTTATGAAAATGTTGTCTTGAGTTTTCCTCTAAAGACTGTTCACTGCTTTATTCACCTTTCTCGCATCAGGTCTGCGCTGCCGGAAGTGAGTTCTGTGTTTGCCGTGCCGGAGGGTCCAGCTGGCCCTGCGCCGTGGTGTCCACGGCCCTCGGTGTCACCCCTGACGTACACTGGGTACTACGTGGACTTGTCTTCTGGGCCGCTGGTCATTGTCTCTGCACGTGTGCGTGTTCTCTGTGCCCCAACAATACGCTGTCTTAGCTTCTAATGCTTTAAATTAAGGTCCCGGCACCTTGTGTGGCAAGTTAGCGCTTCTGCACAGGGTTTAGAACCAGGTTGTCAGTTCTTAGAAAAGCAAGAGCCTGCTGGGGTCTGATTAGACGACCCATAGGACATCTTCCTGGTGTGACTTGGGGTTTAGGCTCACGAGGCCGCCCAGGAGGGTCAGGACAGGTCAGTGCTGGGCACCCCGCTCCCTGGGAGCCACTCCCGGACACTCCTGTCCACCCGGTGACAGGTCAGGAACGCGGGGACAAGCTCCGTAGCGGGCAGGTGCGGGATCACCTGTCAGGGGGTTCTGGCTCATCGTCAACCATGGGCCACTTTGTTAGAAAGCAGGCACACGCCCTTCCCTTTGTCCACAGACAGCGGTGGTGGGAACAGCACAGAGCCTTCCACCCACACACAGGCCACCTCCTCCGCGCAAGTCTTCTCGGCTCTTTCTTAGAAGGTTTGTACTTTCCGGGCGGGGGGGGTCAGGAGTAGCTTATGTCACACCCTCCCCAGGTGCTGATTGTTTTCATGCTACTGAAAACTGTCACTTGGACACTTTCCTTTTCTGCTTGTTTGCACCTGGCATGTGGAGTGCAGCTGACGTTTCTCTAATGGCCTGTGAAATGGGCACATCAGGCTGGGCTCCTGACCTCGGTGCTGACTGTTCTTCCTTCACTTCCTTCTTTCACCTCTGGCCTCACCGGACGATGCGGAACAGAAGTGCTGATGGGAGCCTTCCGGGCACCGCGACTCCTGGAGAAAGATCTTTCAGTCCTTCACCAGATAGGATGACGTTTGCCCGGGGGCTTAAAACACATTCTTTTATCAAATTCAGGAAGTTATCTTCCATCCTAACTTTGTAAAATCACACATTGGTTCTGAATTTTGACAACTGCTTCTCCACATTTGTCAAGATGATGTTAATGATTGTCTCCTGCCAATATGGTAAATTACGCTGATGTTTTTAATATGAAGCCACAGGAGGGGCGCCTGGGTGGCTCAGTCGGTTAAGCGTCCGACTTCGGCTCAGGTCATGATCTCATGGTTCACGGGTTCAAGCCCTGCATCAGGCTCTGTGCTGACCGCTCAGAGCCTGGAGTCTGTTTCGGATTCTGTGTCTCCCTCTCTCTCTCACCCTCCCCATTAAAAAAAATTTTTTAATATGAAGTTACAGGGAATACGGCCGTTTGATCCTGATTCACGATCAGGATTCGGCTGGCTAATGTCTCTCGTCTCTGCCCATGAGAGATGTTCCTTCCTCGTAATGCCACCACCGGGTTCTAGTATCCAGATTTAGAAGAAACCTGGCCTTGGAAGAAAGAGTATTCCTCTTATTCCTGTTCTGTAGAAGGTTTTGTCTTCCTTCGCTGTCTGAAAGAATTTGCTGATAAAGCAACTGGGTCTGGGATTTTCTCTGTGTGGATGTTTTTAATAAAAGATTCAGTTTCTTTAACAGATAATAAGTTATTCAGATTTTCTATTCTGTCAACTTGTATGTTGTATTTTTTAAGAAATTTGTCTATTCCATCCCATATTCCCTGACGAGCTTTGTGACATCTGAAGGGTCTCATGATGTCTTTCCGGTACTGATACTAGAATTTTGGTGGGTTTTTTCCTTTCTTTTTTTTCTTTTTCTTTATCGAGTCTTCCTAAATGTTCATTAGCTTTATTAGTCTTCTCTTTGGAACCCTCTTACCAGCGTTGCTTTCCTCTATCGTATTTTTGTTGTAATTTCGATGTTTCTGTTGCCGTATTTCCTATTCGTTACTTTCTATTTTTCTTAGGTGTTTTTGTTCCAGCTTCTAGAGATCAAAACCTAAATTACCGTTTTTAAGATTTCCTCCTTCTATTCAAGGCTGTATTTTTCCTCTAAGCTCTGCTTTAGACAAGTCCCATAGGTTCTGACATACAGCATTTTTATTCTCTAAGTCAGTTTAAAACATTTTCTAAATTTCATCGTGGTTTCTTCTTTGACTGACCGATGACGATACTCTCAAAGCAGTGCTATCCTTCAGCTGTACTGATTTCTTAGTCTCGCTGCAGTTGGAAAAGAAACGGACAGGTTTCGCTCCGTGGCGCGTTCATGCCGGCCGCGGCCCCCTGGGAGTGCAGCTCAGCCTGCTCTCAGTGCGTCCACAGCCGGGGCTTTAGGGACAGCACTCGGTGCCCCCGGCCCGGTGCCTGCTGTGGCTGCTGTGGCGGCCTGGCTGTGGTCCGCACCCCACCCCCAGGTGCAGCCGACCCCCGAGTCTGCGGCCAGAGTCAACATGGGTCTCCCACCAGGATCCTTGCGACGGGAGGAGGAGGAGCCGACACAACGCCCGTGATGGAGATGGCGCCTCGACCCCGTCCCGCCTCGGACTCCATCCCACCTTGGACGGAGCCCCTGCGTCCCGAGTCTGGCCCGGTCCTCAGCACAGCACGTGCATTGATGTACATGGTCCCTCAGGTTTCCTCTGAGGTTAGCGCTGGGTCACCCTCACCCCAGCCACAGGGACACACGTGGACGTGTCCCTGAGGGCGGGCTAGTGGGCTGTGCAGACCAGCCCACCTGTGGACGGGCCTGCAAGCCCCGCACCTCCCGCGCCCGCGATGCTCCTCAGGAGGGAGGCCTTCCGCACAGGGGCTCAGGCCCCGGCTCTCCGCGCGGGGCGGCTCTGGGGACATTTCTGGTTACCTCAACTGGAGGCAGAGCTACTAGCGTCTGGTGGGAAGAGACCAGGGACGGCGCTCGACTTCCCACGGCGCACAGGACGCCGCACCACAAGCCAGCACCAGAGGGAGACAGGAAGGCGGAGGAAGGGGACGGGGTCAGACCCGCCCAGGTGGGCACAGGAGGGCGGAGGGGTGGGACCCGTGAGAGGGCTCCAGGCTGCTTCCCCGACTTGCTATGTTTTCATCAAGTTCCGTTTCTTTAAACGCCCTGCTTCTAAATCCCCCCGAGTCAGGCCGGCGACGGCGGAGCGACGCGGCACAGCTGTGGGCCCGCTGGGCTCAGAGGGCTTGCTCACCCTGGAAATGGCCGCCAGCCTCTGCCTCACGCCCGCGAACAAGCTGGTGGACGTCCTCCCCTGCTGCGTCAGCTTGTGCTCCAGCTGCAGCAGGGCCGCCAGCTGCGAGCTGCCGGTGTCGTCCGTGGCCGTGAACAGGACATCCCGCATCATCTCCGAGGCCGAGCAGCTCTGAATCAGACAGCGGGGCCCAGGGGCCTGAGCCCTGCCCTGGGCCGGGGGTGCCCCCGAGGGAGGGTGGGCGGGGCCTGCGCGCCTCTTCTGGTGCCCGCTTCGTGGGCCACCTTGCATCTCCCGGCCCCACACCACTGCGCCCCCAGCGCCCGCCCGCTCCTTTGCTCTGAGCCCCAGGAGCACGAGGCCTGAAGGACCAACAGGGGTCAGTAACGGGGGGGGGGGGCTCAGGGGACCTGGGGGGGGCTCAGGGGACCTCGGTGGGGAGCTCAGGGGACCTCGGGGGGGGATCAGGGGACCTCGGGGGGGAGCTCAGGGGACCTTGGGGGGTGGCTCAGGGGACCTCGGGGGCTGGGGCTCAGGGGACCTCGGGGGGGGCTTAGGGGACCTTGGGGGGGGGGCTCAGGGGACCTCGGTGGGGGGGACGGCCTTCCTGCTTCTTCCAGTGGCCTGAAGCCCCTTCTCCCAGCTGAGCACCATTCTCAAGGCAGACACTGGCTGGGCCGGCAGGAGGGAGTGCCGGGTGCTGGGGGCCTCTCTCCCCCAAGGTGGACAAGAAGGGCCCGGAGGAAGGGGCGCAGAGCAGAGCCACACCTGAGACAGTGCCAGGAACTGGCAGGCGGCCGCGGGGTCCAGGGTGCCGACGCACTCCACCATCTGCAGGCCGGCAGCCGCCGCGATGTCCGGGAGGCAGCCACCCAGGGCCGCCTGCGTGCACTGCAGCAGCACCTCGGACGCCTGGGCCAGGTAGCGCTGGGCCAGCGCCATCCTCCTCTGCAGGGCCGCAGGGCTCAGGCTCGGGTGGGGGTGGGGAGGGCATGGGGGGGGGGGGCGGGGGGGCGGGGCCGTACCTGCAGATCCCAGCCCTTCCTGCCCTGCTCCTCGGAGGCAGCCCTGGAGGGTCTCAGGTCTCTATATTGATCCTCACGGGTCTCGGCCTCGCCGGTGACGTTCAGGCGCTTATGGCCTCTCAGTTCAGCACCTGCCTGCGGAGAGGGTGCCCGTCAGCCAGCTCAGCCGCTTGGGGCTGGGGGTCTTCCTAGAAGAGCAGGGTCCATGGGGAAGAGCCTGACTTCGCCTTTGGGAAGCTGGCTTCCAGACGGGAGGAGGCTTATCTACGAGGCATTGAGGACGTGGCCCCGGGCTTCAGCGGGCTCCTTCGGGGGGCAGCCTTGCGGGGGGCCTAGGGAAGGGTGTGGGCCTGGGTGTGCGACACGGCCAGTGGCGGGGGCTCAAGCCCTTGCATCAGCTTCCCCAGACAGTGTGTGGGGTGGAAGGGAGAAAGGGGCTTGGGTCCCAAGCTGCGGTGAGCGGGGGGTTTGCACCCGGCTCTCAGGCACATCCCGGACTCCCTGGAGAGTTGCTGAGGTGCGGGGACACCAGGAGCCACGGGACATCCATGGCTGGGGACGTCCCGCCCTTGGGCCACCTGTGTGCTTGCCCTCCCCTCCCCCGTGCTTCTTTCCCACCCATGAATCACACTGGACCGACTACTTCTTCCCTTTTTCTCCCTTGCTCAGTCCACGCCACCTTCTTCTTTTTAATGTTTATTTATTTACTGGGGAGGAAGGGCAGAGAGAGGGGACAGAGGATTCTAAGCAGGCTCCACACTGTCAGCGAGGAGCCTGACATGGGGCTCTAACTCACAAACTCTAAGATCAAGACCTGAGCCAAAATCAAGAGTCAGAAGCTTAACTGACTGAGCCGCCCAGGCACCCCCAGGCCACACTACCTTCTTAATCAGGGACAATTCCCATTTCACATCCCAGTTCTTACTGAGATTAGGTGAGTTTTAAATACCTGGGTTTGTTCTCAGGCAGGAGTGAGGGGTTTGCGGGCAGCGGAAGGCAGGAATACGTACCGAGAGGCCCTCCTCCCAGTAGAAGGTGGGGCGCACGGGGGCCGCCTGCATGGCCAGCAGGCGCAGGGCCCTCCCGGCCAGGCCCAGCTGCCGAGCGCGGGTCTCCGCGCAGCCTGCGCACAGCGAGTGCAGGCCGCCCAGCTGCGCCAGCGCCCCGTGGGCCAGAGTCCGCTTCAGCGTGAACCATTTCTTCGGGAGCACAAACCGCCTGTGGTTACTTTCGGCCGGGCCTGGGAAATGCTAAGACCCCCCCATCTCAGCCCCGGGTCCCGGGTCGTGTCCCTGGGGTCCTGGCCCGATGCGTCTGGGAGGGCTGCCATCCAAGCACTCTGAGAAACGCCCCCATTTGCACCGGAGAGTGGGGGGAGGGGGCTCCATCCCGGGCCTAGCTGACGGAGGGCACTGTAGCCTGGTGGTGGAGCCTGGATTTGGGGCTAGCCGACAAATAGCCTAAGTCTGTACTGGAGTTCAGTTTTAGGGCTCTCTTTAATGTCTTCATAGGTATGTCAAATTAATTTGATTCATACTACATGAAATTTAGGAAAATGTCTAAAAACGGCAGAGTATGTTTCCTTCAGATATTTTGCAAAGTCTTTTTTTTAACCACATGAATTCACCTTTGAGGAGCGCGTTAGTCTGCTGACGTCATTAGTCAGAGCAAACGCACGCCCAGGGGAGGAGAGCGCCTGGTGCACAGTCCCCCCAGCAGGACCCCCACCCACCAGGCGCTGCGAGCCTCTGAGAGCCGGTCCCGCCAGCCGCCCCGGGGAGCCCTGCCGTCCTGAGCGGCACCCGCAGACGGGGGAGGCCCCGGCCCCACGGTGAGCACCGGGCCCCCCTGGCCTCGGGGACGGTTACCAAGCCGACGGAGGTGTAGTCACTGGCGCTCTGCAGGTAGTCGGCCAGCAGCTTCTCCATGGAGCTCTGCTCAAGCTCGCGGGCCAGGGCCTCCTCCCAGACGAGCTGCTGCAAGTCCAGAGACACCTGCACCAGGTGGAGCCGCAGCTGCGCCAGCCTCCTCATCAGGGGCGTGTTGGCGTTCTGGACCTGGGCGTGCCAGAGACCCACGGTCAGCGCGCTGGCGCACCCCCCCCCCACCCGCCGGCACTTCCAGCAGCTCCGAGAGGTCGCCGGCCGTCCCACAACTAAACAAGTGACCCTCGGCCCTGCCCTCCTAGCAGCCACCGGCCACACTTGAGCCGGTTTGCTTTTCTAGGGTGTATGCCAGTGGATGCCCCGGCTTCATTCACTTGCATAGTTATTTCAGGCCCATCCACGCTGCTGCTGCCACACTCACGCCTGTTAACTGACAGGGAGAACCCGCCACGGCACTCACACCGCGGCTAGTGTAACACAGTGGCCACAAACACTCGTGCGGGAGTTCCTGCGTGGATGCGGGCTTTCCTCTCTCGCGGGGAAACGCCCAGGAGTGGGATGCTGGCTCACACGGTGGCCTGTGTCTAACTGCCGAGGCGTGTCCCGTGCTACACCCCCGGCAGCAGCGACGAAAGTTTGGTCCCTCCACGTCCTCGTTAACGGTCGGTATGCCCGGTCTTCCAAGGTGCAGCCCTATTTCATAGTGCGCGGTGGTTTTCCATTACGGTTAGCACCTGCGTTTCGCTGGTTCGCTGGTGGTTCACCACCTTTGCATGTAATTATTTACCATCCACATATTCTCTTTGGAGAAATGCCTGCCCAACTGTCCACTTTTTATTAGGTTATTTCTTTTCTTATTACTACGTTTCAAGAGTGTTCTAAATTTTAAAAATTTTTAATGTTTACTTATTTTTGAGAGAGAGACACAGAGGGTGAGCGTGGGGGTGCACAGAGAGAGGGAGACAAAGAATCCGAAGCAGGTTCCAGGCTCTGAGCTGTCAGCACAGAGCCCGGCATGGGGTTCAGAATCATGAACTGTGAGATCCTGACCTGAGCCGAAGCAGTTGCTTAACTGACCAAGCCACCCAGGAGCCCTAAGGGTGTTTTGTATTCTGGACCAAACCTTGTCAGTCATATGGTTGCAAATATTTTCTCCCAGTCTGTGCTTCTCTTTTCGTTCCCTGAATAGTGTCTTTTGAAGAGCAGACTCCAATTTATCAATTTATTCTTTCATGGATCATGTTTTTGTTGCCATAGGTAAGAAATTTTTGCTAAACCCAAGGTCCCAAGGTGTCTTCCTCTAGGAGCTTTGTCGTTCCCGCGCTTACCTGTAGGTCTGTGATCTGCTCTGAGCTCAGTCCTCCATCTGTGTTATGGGTGTGCATTTCCAGTGGCTCCAGCACCACTGCTTTACTTATTTATTTAAAAACATTTTAACATTTATTTCTGAGAGACAGAGAGACACAGAGCACGAGCAGGGGAGGGGCAGAGAGAGAGGGAGACACAGAATCCGAAGCAGCTCCAGGCTCCGAGCTGTCAGCACAGAGCCCGACACGGGACTCGAACACACGAACCGTGAGACCATGACCTGAGCTGAAGTCGGCCACTTAACCGACTGAGCCCCCCAGGAGTCCCCAGCACCACTGTTTCAAAGAGTAGCCTTTCTTCACTAAATTGCCTTTGCTCTTTTGTTGAAAGTCTATTTTGTGTCTTATTTCTGGATTCTGTTATGTTCCATTGATGTGATGTCTTACTCTTACATTAAAACCACACTGTTTTGATTCCTATCACTTTATAATAAGTCTTAAAATCTGTAGTGTTAGATTTCCAACTTAGTTTTTCTTTTTTAAAGTTGTGTTTGGTATGTTATGTCTTTTGTAATTCTATATGAATTTTAAAATAACTTTGTCAATTTCTCTAAAAAAAAGCCGGCAGCTTCTTGGTCAGGACTACAGAAAATTTAGGGAGAATTGAGATCTTAGGAATATCGAGTCTTCTGGCCCATGACATGGCATATCCCACCTCCCTTTGGGCCTCTTCACTTTCTCTCAGCAATGTGTTACAATTCTCAGGGTAGAAGTTGCCACTTTTTTGTCAAGTTTCATTTTTATTCTGTCAAATGATATTGTTTTGAATTTTTTTATTTACAAACATTTTTAATGTTTCTTTTTGAGAGAGAGAGCATGAGGGAGGGAGGTGAAGAGGGAGGGACAGAGAATCCCCAGCAGGCTCCACGCTGTCCGCCGCAAGCCTGAGGTGGGGCTCGAACCCACGAAGTGTGAGAGCACAGCCCGAGCCAAAGTTGCAGGTCCAACCGACTGGGCCACTGGGCAGCCCTGGTTTTGAATTTTTATTATCTGATAAATTGTTGCGAGTACATAGACATATACAATTAATACTTGTGTATGGTCCTTGTGTCCTGAAGCCTTACTGCAATCACTGGTTAGTCCTCATAGATTTACTGTTATTATCATTTGTGTAGATCGCACGAGGTCCTCTGTACACGTGATTGTGCTGTCCGTAAACAAAGGTTGATGTGCTTCTTCCTTTCCAGACGGGGTACATTTAATTTCCTTTTCTCACCTACTGAGTGGGCTGCAACTCAAATACAACTCGGGCTGAGGGGGTGCAAGTACACGCTGTCCTCGTTCTGTGCTTCTGCCCCGGTGGGCGGGGGGGGGGGGGCCCACAGGTGCCCTCTGTCAGCTTGAGGAGTCTTCCTTCTATTAATGGTTTGCCGAGAGTCTTTTTTTTTCAATCAGGAATGAGTGTTGCGTTTTGTCAAATCCTTTTCTGCATCTACTGAGGTGCTCATATGTTTTTACTTTAATTTTAAAAAACTATGGCAAGTCAAACTGGTTGATATTGAATGTTAAACAATTCCCAAGAGGCTCAGTTGGTTGAACACGTGACTCTCTGCTTAGGTCATGTTCTCACGATTTGTGAGTTTGAGGCCCGCGTTGGGCTCTGTGCTGACAGCATGGAGCCTACTTGGGATTCTCTCTCTCTCTCTCTCTCTCTCTCTCTCTGCCCCTCCCCCTTGGGACCTCATCAAGATAAAAATCTGCACGGCAAAGGAAACAATCACCAAAACTAAAAGGCAACTGACAGAATGAGAAAAGATATTTGCAAATGACATATCTGATAAGGGGCTAGTATCCAAAATCTCTAAAGAACTTACCAAACTCAACACCCAAGAAACAAACGATCCAGTGAATAGGCAGAAGTCACGAATGGAAACTTTTCCAAAGAAAACTCCAGATGGCCAACAGACACATGGAAAGATGCTCAACGTCACTCATCATCAGGGAAATATAAATCAAAACCACAACGAGATACCACCTCACACCCGTCAGAGTTGCTAAAATGAACAGCTAGGGCAACAACAGATGCTGGCAAGGAGGCGGAGAAACGGGCACCCCTTGCACTGCTGGTGGGAATGCAAGCTGGCGCAGCCGCTCTGGAAACAGTGTGGAGGTTCCTCAAGAAACTATAAACAGAACTCCCCTGTGACCCAGCAACTGCAGTACCGGGCGTTTACCCAAAGGGTACAAACACGCCGACCCAAAGGCGCACGCACATTCACAACAGCGCTACTGACAACGGTCAAGTCACGGAAAGGGCCCAAACGTCCATCCAGCGACGACTGGGTAAAGAAGATGTGGTTTATACATACAACGGGACACTACTCGGTGATGGAGAAGAATGAAATCTTGGCATTTGCAATAACGTGGTTGGAACTGGAGGCTATTTTGCTAAGTGACGTCAGTCAGGCAGAGAAGACACCATATGATCTCACTCATAAGTGGGATTTAAGAAACAGGACAGATGAACATGGGGGAAGGGAAGGAAAAATAAAACATAAAAGCAGGGAGGCAAACCATAAGAGACTCTTAAATACAGAGAACAAACTGAGGGGTGCTGGGGGGAGGTGTGTGGAGGGCGGGTTACGGGAGTGATGAGCAGCGAGGAGGGCCCTTGTTGGGATGAGCCCTGGGTGTCGTATGTAAGATATAAGTCACTGGGTTCTACTCCTGAAGCCAACACAACACTGTATGTTAACTAACTTGAATTTATTTTTTTTTTAATTTTTTTATGTTTTATTTATTTCTGAGAGAGAGAGAGAGAGACAGAGAGAGCATGAGCAGGGGAGGGGCAGAGAGAGAGGGAGACACAGAATGTGAAGCAGCTCCAGGCTCCAAGCTGTCAGCACAGAGCCCGACGCGGGGCTTGAACCCATGAACCGCGAGATCATGACCTGGGTCGAAGTCGGACGCTTCACCGACTGAGCCCCCAGATGCCCCAAACTAACTTGAATTTAAATAAATAAAATAATAACAACAACAACAAAAACATTTTTTTAAAATTCCCAGGACTTGGCAATGATATCTTCTTTTTACATATTGTTGTATTTAATTTGCTAAATTTTTGTGTAGAATTTTGCATCTGTGTTCATGAAGAATAATGACCCGTAGTTCTTGTCTTGGTATCAGGGCCATACTGGCCTCATCGAGTGTTCCCTCTTCTCAGTTTTCTAGAAGAGTCCATGTTGAGTTGGTGTTATGCTTTCCTTCAATGTTCGCTAGGATTCACCGCTGCAGCTTCCTGGGTCCGAGGTTTTCCTTGTGGAAACTGCAAATTCCATTTCTTTGAAAGATGGAGGGCTATTCAGGTGATCTGTCTCCTTTTGGGTAAGTTTTGGTTATTTGTGTCTTTCAAGGAATCGTTCCACATTATCATGAAGTTGTTCAGAACATTCCCTTATTATCCTTTCAATATGCATAGGATCAATGGTGACATCCTGACTCTTATTTCTGATATTGGTTATTCACGTCCTCTCTTTTCTCCTGATCAGTCTTGGCAGAAGTATATGTATTTACTGATCTTCTCAAATAACAACTTGTGGTTTTATCGATTTCACCTTCTATTTTAATGTTTCTTATCTTACTGATTTCTGCTCTCATCTTTGGTTTCCTTTCTTCTGCTCATTTGGGAGCTGGTTCTTCATCTACTTCCTTATGGTGAGGCCTACGGTCATTAACTTGGGCTCTCACTTCTTGTGTCATATGCTTACTCAGTGCTACAGGCTTCCCCTAAGCATTCCGTTAGAGATGCCTGAGCATTTCAGATGTGTTTCCCCCTTCAGTTCAGAAACATGTTCCCTCCTGATTTGTTCTGTGGCTCATCGTTATGTTGATAGATGCTACTTACTTTCCCTGTGTGTGGGCATCCCACCCACAGCTTCCTGGTTGTTGTCGTTGTTTTCAAATCGCGGTAAAGTTCCTATAACATGAGGTGAACGATTTCAAAGCACACGGGTCAGTGGGGCTGCGTGTGTTCACGGCCTGTACAGCACCTCCCAAATGTTTTCATCGTTCTGAAAGGGAACCCCTTACCCACTCAACAGCACTTCTTCTCTCACGACCTCCCAGCCCCTCCCCTGCTACCACCAACCAGCTTTCTGTCTCCATGGGCTGAACTATTCTTTGTGCTGCTGTTTGATTTCTACCTTAATTCCATAGCCAGTCCTGGCGTATCTTTTTTTTTTTTTTTTTACTTAAATCCCTTTATATTTATTGAGACTCGTTCTATGTTTATGGTCCAGAACATGGTCTATCGTGGAGAATGTGTCGTGTGCACACAAAACATAAAGACCGTGATCCCGCCGCTGCTGGGCGGAGCGCTCCATAAACGCCCGCTAGCGCACCTGGTCGGTGGCGATACGCAAACCTGGTTCTTTGCTTGCCGTCTTTGCTTGTTCTGCTAACTGGAATTCCTCACTGTAAGTGCAGATTTGTACACTTGTCCACCACAATGGTACCCGTTGTTACTTCGGTTCTTTTGAAAATCTGCTACTGGGTGTTTGAAATGTAGATATTTCGTCTCCGCGGTTAGTTGCTTCCTTGACACCATGAAACCGAGCTGCGTGTCCCCGGTGAGGCTCCTCCTCCACGGCCACCCTGCCTGATGGGGGTGCGGCCGCCCGGCTTTCTGTGACGCGTGTCAGCAGTGAACTCTTCCCTTCCTTTACTTCCGGCTTGTTCCTGTCTCCAGAGGTATAGTGGCCTCCCTGTAGGCAGCACACAGTTGGGTCTGCCTCCTGGTACCGCCTGACGAGTTCTGGGCCCTAACTGGGGATTCAGACTGTTCTGACCGCGTGACTGCTGACAGGACTTGTGTTTTCTATACAAACAGCCGCACCTGTTCTTTATTCTCTTTCCACCTTTTCCGCTTTCTTGAGGGACAAGTGAATGGTTTTTAGGATTTCCTTTGACTTCCCTTCTTGGCTTACTAGGTATGCCTCTCTGTTCTGAGATTTCTGTAATCACTTCGGGGTTTATAGTATATTTTGCTACTCCGCGCAGTGCGCAAAAATCCCTCACGCTACTGTTGTCATTCCTCTTGTTTTTACAGGCGTTATAGATCTGATGCTACACTGCTATCACTTTTGCTTCAACAGCCAAGTACCTTCCAGAGAGATTTAAATAATGAGAGAAAATCTTCAGAGGTTTTCCCCAGGTAGTTTGTACTTTCCGTGCCCTTCATTCATCTGTGCGGATCACGTTTCCATCTGGTGTTGACTTCCTTCTGCCTCAAGGACAACTTTGCTGTCCCGACACGTGTCTGCTGCCTCGCGCTCAGCTCTTGAAGGTCCAGGGGAATCTTTACTTTGCCTTTGTCTTTGGGAGACGTGTTTGCCGGGCATCGATCAGCCGCTCGTGCTCCCAGCACTTGGCGATGTTGCATCACTTGTCTTCTGGGTCGTATGGTTTCTGCTGAAAAGTCTGCTGGTCTGCACATAACATGTGCTTTTACTTCTTCTTTTTTTTTTTTTTTTTTAATATTTTTATTTATTTCTAGGAGAGAGAGAGACACAGTGTGAGCAGGGGAAGGTCAGAGAGAGAGGTCACAGACTGAAACAGGCTCCAGGCTCCGAGCTGGCAGTCAGCACAGAGCCCGACGTGGGGCTCGAACCCACGAACTGCGAGATCATGACCTGAGCGAAAGTCGGACGCTCAACCGACTAAGCCACCCAGGTGCCCCTCACGTGCTTTTACTTCTGACCCACCTTGAAGACCCCTCCTGTCACCGGCCGTGAATGGCTGGGTCACAGTGTGCCCTTGGCATACTTTGATTCTCTTCATCGTTTCTGAGCTCCTTGGATCTGTAGGCTTAGAGGTGGTTTCAGTCTGTCCCCTCCCGGCCCTCCTCTCCGGGCAAGTTTCCAATTACTGCGCCTGTACCCGCGCTCTCGACGTCGACTCGCAGGTGTTCCGGCCAACTCCACCGTGTCCATCGCCACCTCCGACCCTCTCAGTCTCTGCCCCTCCCCACCTGGTGCGTCTTCGCCACACATGTTGTGATCTTCACGTCTGTAAGCTGCATCTCACTCTTTGTGTCTCCAGCATCTCTACTTGGCCTTTGTAGCGTATGGAATGCAGTCAGCAGTAATTTCTAACAACCTTGCCTCTGAACTCTGATATCTGTGCCAGAACTCAGTTGGTTTTCACAGACATTTCTGACGTGTATTTTCCTGCTTGTTGGCATGGTAATCTTTGCACGCACTTTTTGACCGGGGTTCAGCGTGGTGACTCCGCACTGGCTGCCTGATGTCGCGCATCTTACTTGTCTGATGGACTTTCGTGCTGCGCTTCTGCCTTTTGCTCTGGGACCACGGTGTGCAGATCTGGGGCAGGGCCCATCTGGGCAGACTGCCCCCGACTGGTCCTGGGGTCATGAGGTTGTCCGGTCTGGCTGGTGGGAGTCGGTGCTGCCCCAAACCCGAGTGGGAGCCCAGTGCTGTACAGACCCCTTGGGTGCCCCAAGGCCGCAGGCAGTGTGGGTGGAGGTGGGGCCGCAGCTGCTCAGGATGATGGCGCCGATGCTAACATTTAATGTGTTAAAAATGTTTCACCTTTTTGTCTACTTTTTGGTTATTTCAGAAGGGAGGATAAATCTAGTTAGTGTAACTGCATCTCAGTCAGAAGGGGAAGCCGGCGGCTTGTTGAAGTCAAGTATGGGGATGTGCCTGCTTGTGCGCCGGGGTGCTCTGGGCTCCAAGGGGCACCGAGGACCAGACTCACCTCGTGCAGGGACAGTAAGGCCCGCACGCTGCGGAACAGCTCCTCGGCGTCAGCTACAGCTCCCTGGACCAAGTCGTACGCCTCCAAGAAATACGCGGTCCTCTGCTCTCCGTCCTTCTCGTTCTGGGCACATAACCTGTGTAAGATGGACGAGTGGGATTCAGAACAAACATCTCAAAGCATTGTGCCATCACTACTAACCAAGTGCGTACTATGTAATTTTTATGCGACTGTATTTTTATTAGTACTTTAAATTCTATGATTAGATGTTATATGAAGATATAAAGTTAAGTATGCACTCAATACTTTTTTTTTTTGGTTTTTGTCAGAATTAAATCTATACCTAGCAGACCAACGAATCAACACAACATTAACTGTGTTGATTTAAACACCACGTTTTCCTATTTGCGCTTTTCTGCACGTTTTAAAGTTCTTCCATGACCCTGTGTCACTTCTGTGATGACAGGACGAAGGTGACTCTTCACGCGTGTGCAGGTTCCTTCTCCCTCATAAAGGCCGCTGCTCGTATCTTACACATGATTTTGAGCTTCAAAATGCCTGTGTGTACCCCAAGGCCAGGGGGGGCCGGGTGGGGGGCAGGGGCAGGGAGGGGCTGAAGGGAGAGTGGCCTGGACAGCACCGGGGGGCAGCGTGCAGGGACTGGGGGCAGTGACGTCACGGGGGGGCGGGGGGGCACACCGGCTGGCAGAGCCCAGGGCCCGGGCGGGGGGCTGCTCGCCTCTTTATCCCGGCGCGCTCCAGCTTTATGTCCAGACAGTGGTCCCTGTAGCCCCAGGCGAGAAACCTTTTCTCAATTTCCAACAGGCAGGCATCCATCTCGCTGAGCGGGAACACGCATCTGGGAGGTTCACCGTCAGCGGTCTCCTGGGCGGCCTTGATCCGGAGGCTCACGCACCTGCATGGGCCATGGGCCGTCACGCGTGGCCACCGCAGTGTCACCAGCGTCGCCGGAGAAAGCCCCTGAGGAGCGCCTCCCGAAGAGCGGAGACCGCACGATGCGCCACACGAGCAGCGTCCCACACCTGCCATCACATGCTTCTGGAAGTTCAAAACCGCTCTCTGACTCGGGGGCAGGGAGGGCGGCCCCCGCACATCTGACCTGCAGGGCGCCACCAGGGGCGTCCGGGGCGCCTGCGGGAGCAGTGGGGACAGAACAGGGCCAAGAACCGAACAAAGACAAAGCAGAGCATCCAGAAAACCAAAATACGACAAAGCCCCACTGCTTCGGTCAAGAGAGCGAGAGCTGCTTCTTTGCTGAGGTCAGTTAGACGCTGGTGTGGGGTCTGAGCTGGGAAAAGAGCGAGAGCACCAAGGCGGGCAGCGCCGGCGCTAGACTCCGCGAAGCCACAGGGAAAGAGCCCACAGACACGTCCGGCAACACAAGCAGAGGAAACAGTTTTCCGGAAGGATATAAGCTACCAGAAAGGCGGCTGGAAGACAAGTTGGGAATCTGGGGAGCCAGCAAGCACAGGAGACCCGGCGCCGCCCTCGGGGGCCCCGTCCCCGCGCGGACACCGGCCAGGTCAGCGGCGCCACGGAGCAGGACAGACCCCAGGGGGGCGTCTGCTCCCGAGGTTCCGCACTGACGGAGGGCGGGGTGCAGGGAAGACCCCGCGGCCGGTCCCCGGCCGGGACTGGCCCTGCCCCTCTGCGGAAGGGAGGTCAGAAGCGACCCTGAGAATTTAGGAACAAACCAAGCCACCTGCCTCCCTATCCCAAGAAAAAGGCACCTTGGAAAGAAAGAGACAGCGCCCCAGGGGCCCGAAGGCCGCGGGCCAGGCTCCCCCAGGGGCTGCGGGCAGCGGGCAGGGGTGTGGGCAGAGGGCTCTCCAGTGCGATTCTCTGCACTTGAGAGGTTTGAAGTCCCGCGTAAGGCACAAAGTGAGCCATGACTTCGCGCAAATTAAGTTCTTCTCACAAAGGACTACCTGGCCTCTAGGTCTGTGGCCATGAATTCCAGGATGGGCGCCCGGTTAGGTCTTTCTTTCTGCAGAACTTTGAAGGTTTCTATGAGTTTCTGGAACAACTGGATGACCTGTGGATGAGAGCGCGTCGACGTCGGCACGTGGCCCTCGGCCACGGGACCGGCCACAGGCCCCTCGCGAGCACACTGGCCCCTCACCGCTGTTCCTCTGCTTTTGCCTTCCATGGACAGAAGCGTGTCTGCCAGGGTCAGGGTTGAGCTGTACCAGAACTCCTCGCCGCCCCCCAGGCTCCAGGCCCACTCCACCATCTGCTTAGCTTGTCCGTAGTTTCTCTCCTTGTTAGCCAGCTGCGCTAGAAGGTGCAGGCATCTTGCTTCCGCACAAGGGTCGTTGAGCTCCTAAAATATGCAGGAAGATAGGAGGCGGGTCGGGAGGGGGAGAGAGACAGAGGCAGAGAGAGCAGCTCCGGCACAAGGCCTTCCCACACTGGGTCCACTGGGCTGCTCCCTGACCTCTGGAGGAGGCCCCACCCATACTGGCCCTCAGGGCTCGGGGTGGGTGGGCTTGAGGCCTGTGCATATGCTAAAACCTACTTCCAGGGTTCACGACAGCACTAATGGCCCTGGGAAGCCCCTCCCCTTAGCGGCAGGTTCCAGTGCGCCCCCCCCCCCCACTAGGAGACCCCATCCAGATGCTGGCCAAGAGCAGGCAGGGTGAGGAGGTGAGCAGACTTCTGCACCCTAGTCGGCCAGGGCTGTCTCATCCCCCATCCACTGCACATGGTCACAGGTGGCCTGGGCATGGGGTGCGGGTTCTGTCGGCCTCTGCCCACACCCCGCAGGAGGGGGCAGGTGCCCAGGCAGAACAGCGGCAGCCCAAGGTGGCCCCGGACAGAGCAGCCAGCACGCAGCCTGCGTAGGTTGAAGTGGGGGCCTGCCGTCCCAAGAGCCAGGGCCCTGGACGGCAAATACAGGCTGGAGGCGGGGAGGGCGAGGTGCCTATGGGAGGTGGACGTGCAGCGGGCTGGCGGGTGGAGCCACAGCAAGGAGGCTGACGGGGGTGGGAGGGGGCTCTTGCCGTGGACGGACGGAAGCAGGGCCTGTACCTTCAGACACCCCTGGGACCTGTCACCAGACTCTGACTGCTATGGCCCCACAGAGGCACGGCCAGGGGGTGGGTGGCTCAGGGCAGCGGACAGTGGGACGGAAAGGCCCGCGGGCATGTGGCATCCATGACAGAAGGCTCAGGAGGGGCAGGATGGCATCTGAAGGAGGTGAAGGTGGCCCAGCCACGGCCCGGGGCCTGACTTTGCCAGGGGCTCTCTGAGTGCCAGCTACTTTGCCCACTGCTCTCCGAAGAGGCTGTTGCCAGCAGGGTGCTGCAGCCTCTCGGGCCCCGTCCTGGAGCCTCCCTGTCCCCGGCTACACGCGCGTGTCCCGCAGCCAGGCCTGCACACAGCTCTCCTGCTGGCCGAGACTGCACGCCTGTCCCCACGGCCTGTACCTCCCACGGCCTGGAAGTTTGGCGCCTTTATCGGGCACTTCTTTCTGACCGCCCGTCTGGCTCCGTAGCTTTGCCCGGCCCCTGAGTGAATGCGGTGCTCAGAGCTGGACACGGGCGGAACTCCCCGTCCACAGGCGCTGGAGGGCCACGGTCTCCGAGGAGGGGCGCACATGCAGGCATCCATCCTCATGGGGACACAGCCCAGGAGAAAAGCCCAGTGCGGGAGGGGAGGCTGGGCTCCGGGTGCCCGAAGATCCGTGCTCGAGGACAGAGCAGGTTCAAGGAGCCTGGCAGATGGAGCAGGGGAGCCTAAGGAGCTGAGCAAAGATCTGAGCAGCCAGGCCCGAGCATAAGCACAAGGGGGCTTGGAAAAACCTCAGGCTCCCAGAGAGGCCCCAGACCCCCGCAGGGCCCACAGCTGAGGAGACAGGACGGAACTCATGGGGCTGAGCCCCGGCCTCCAGGCTCTCAGCCTCCACACACAACAGCAAGAAGCGCCATGCTGACGGCCCGCTAGGAGCCCCGCCATCCAAGAGAACGCGGCCGTGGAATCAGGCCCACGGCAGCCACGGGAGGCAGGGACCTGAGCAAACTCTGTACAGAGCGCCAGGAAACCAGAGGAATGACAGGCAAGGGCAGAGACTCCAATACAAGTCTAAGATGGACGTTCCAGAACAGCGAGACGCAAGCCGGGTCCGAGCAGACGGCGTGTCCCTGAGGGATGCCTCCCGCCACGCAGATGCCCCGCCGGCCGGGCGCCTCTCACCTGGAAGGCCAGGTGGGCCTCCGACAGCAGCAGCCTCGAAGGCTGGTACAGGTCCATCTCGAGCAGAACTTCTGCCTTGAGGGCCCACAGCTGGGGGAAGGACGTTCCCTCCAGCCCGCTCCCCGTCTCTCCGTCTATCTTCAAGATCTGTAAGGCACGGCAGGCACGTGTGTCTTTCCTGCCGGGCCGGGCCCCCGACTCCACGGCATGCAGTCTCCGGGACCCGGGTCTCCTCACGACCGCCTCGCGCCCAGCGTGCCCAGCACCGGGTGGCCCCTGCTCCCCCTGAGCCCCGTGCTCCTGTACCCCGCAGCACCCGGACCAGCAGGGGAGGGGTCACCAAGCCCCTGAATTCGGCAAGACACTGGGGGGCCTGGCGCGTTCCTGTCATGTGAACCAAACAATTGACTCTGGGCGCTCACGCTCACAAACGCAGTGGCAAGTATGGAGCTCTGTTCCAGGCTCGGTGGCCCGGACGGTTACTCTCCTTTGGGGAGAAGACCAGCCAAGTGTGCCCACACGTGCGGGGAGAGCTGCTTGGGGGTCAGACCACCGGGGCCACCTCTCTAGCTGCCCGGGCCTCCACCACAGCCCTTCCTGGCGGGTCCTCCGTGCCGCCACCAGCCCGTCTTCTCTGAATCCTGCCCAGGCCCCTGGCGGGCACGCTCCCTGATAGTCTGTAGCCTCATCTTCCCCAGAGGGGCCCAGGGGCCACAGGAGGGGCCCCAGGGAACCGGGCAGGCTTGGGCGCAGCACAGCTAAGGCAGGTCCTGGCCAGCGGCTGGGGCTGCAGCCTCGGCACCGTCCCTGCCCGGCCAGGAACACGGCGCTGCCAGCAGCACGGGGTACCTTATCCTTCACTATGAGGGGCTCCGTCTCTGCTTTCCGGACCACAGTTATGGGCTCAGTCAATGTTGTCAGACTTTCTTCGGATAGCGGTTCCTTATTTTTCTCCTTTCTCAAGGCAATTTCTTTTCTGCAGCTAATGTAAGTAACATAGGTAGTACACCAAAGAAATACGATGGCCAAGAAATATCTGAAAATGTTCCATTTCATCAGTAGTCAAGAAATACAAACTCAATAGCTACAAGAAGCCAGTGATGACAAATATAGAAAACTCCTATGACTGCCCCCGGGCACAGCCCCACCCAGGCACTGCCCCTGGGCACAGATTTGCAGCCCCAGGCACTGTCCAACCCCCAGGCACAGCTCCCCAGGCTGAGGGTCCCCCACGCCCACCCCCATCTGGCTGTGATGAAGGATGGGGCCTGGGGTGGGAGGGGACTCAGCCGAGAGCAGCCCCAGGTTGGCCAAATCGTCCCTTCTGTACCCCTTGGCAGCGGCAGACCTAACGGCCACCGGGAGGCACGCACCTCGCCTGCTCCATTTCACACATGTATGTTTGCCCAACCACTTCTTCGTGGTAAGTCGCTGCTTCTTGCAACTTCAAATCGGAACAAACTAAGGCAAGTCTAGGTGAAGGGGGGCAATAAGGAGAGTTAGTGCGGCTACACAGGACATGGCAGACCAGAGTCAGGCGTACTGGGGCCTGGTAAAAACCGGTAGATGGAAAAATGAATGTATAATTTAGTGAGTTTTAACTTTTAAACCCAAGGAAAATTACACAGGTGCCTCTGCAAGTTTCAGGTAGCAAAAATGTTTATGCTCATTCATATATTTTACTCAATACCTACTTATAGTCTCAGGGTCACCTTCAGAGGTAAAACTCAGGCACAGTGGCTGGGGCTCTGACCACCTCCCACCTTAAGCAGAGAGGCTCTGCTTTGATTCTGGTGTAAAATGGTTGTATTTTGAAATGATGTCAAGCTTACAGAAAAGCTGCGCAAATACCACAATTACTGCATCTCCCTCGCCCCGATTCCTTCAGTGCCAACACCACCACATTTGTTTTGTCGTTTTCTCTTCCTCCCCCAACACCCTATATTTTTTTTCTGGATGATTTGAGAGTAGGCTACAGGCACAGTGGCCCTTTATTTTAACACTTTAGTGTGCATTTCCTTAGAACAATGATCTTCTCTTAAAGACCAGGCAGAAATTGTAAAATAAAATTACTATTTTATGTTCAAGTATATTAATTCATCCGGTTTCACACATCATAGCGACTATTATTCAAAGAAATAGTTAACTACAGAATTAATATATGAAAATGCTCTGTTTTTATATTGCTTTGAGGAAATTTTCATTTTAGCCACCTACATGCTCCCCAGTTTCCCTGAAAATAAAACAGCTATACTGACCGAAGATGATAGAGATCTTTGAGGCTCTTGCTCTCTACCACGGAGCCTGCAATTAGTACACCCAACTGCAGGACTGGGATGGTGAGCTCGTAAAGGGACATCTTCTGCAGGGCTTTGACCAAGTGGTCCAGATAATATAAACTGTATGTCTACATAAATACACAACAAACATGTAAGGTCAAAGAAGGGAGGAAGGTTAGAAAACTAGCTTATAGAGTCTTTCTACAAAAACTTCTATCCTTCTCCATTCCAAGCATAGCTTCTGGCACACAGCAGGTGTTTAATAGTATTTGTTGAACAAATGAATAAACGAATGAATGAATGAATGATGTGCTTTCCTCTTCTCCCTAATAGCTTTTATCTTGTCATGTGAAATCACCCACAATCTTCAACATTCAAGTACAGTTAAAGGTCCTCACAAGAAACAATCCATTTATGAAGTGCCTGGGTGGCTCAGTTGGTTGAGCGACTGACTCTGGGTTTCAGCTCAGGTCATGATCTCACAGTTCATGAGTTTGAGCCCCACACTGGGCTGTGCACTGACAGTGCGGAGCCTGCGTAAATTCTCTGTCTCCCTCTCTCTGTCCCTCCCCTACTTGTGCTCGCTCTCTGTCTCAAAATAAATAAACTTTAAAAATAAAGAAACAATCCATTTACATAATTACTCAAATTAATGTTTTGGTTAGATTCCTTCCACTAAAAACTACTGATCCATTATAAACAGACTTTCTTTATGAACACAAATAACTGCTTTAAAATTTAATACAGATCAAGAAGAACTAACACTTATCGAGAAGAGCTAACACTTAGAAAGATGAACTAGATTTGATAAGACAATTATCCTTCAGTGGAAAATTAGAGAAGTTGGATAAACTATTTTTAAAATGTACCAAAAGCACTGAAGACTGGGCAATGCTGGGAAAGACTCCTGGCCAAGACCTGGAAGATGGCGGGCGTCCAGAGAAATCAGCCTGGCACACTGGGGTATATTTGTCCTGGGGGTATCTGCTGATTCAAGAGGAAGCTGGAGGCTGAATGACACTTCTGATTTTTTTTGTAGGGTAGAGACCAAAACACTGGAGCTGAGGGCCCACTAAAAGCTACATGCCCAGGCTGGGTTCCCAGAGGGCTGCACCTGAGGGTTAAGGGTGATCTAGAAGTAAAGTGGCCCTTTCGTGAACTTCATTGAAACCTGATGGCATCTGGGTGGCCTGGAAAGCATATGGTTCTTTGAGAGACTAATAACTGATAACTCCTGGTGAGGCCGATCAGAAAAGAAGACTGGGAAGACACGGAAATCCCTAGAGACCCTACAGTCCCTAAAAGATAATAAAAGGATATGAAGGAGAACATTATGCCAATACATTTGAAATTTTATATTAAGTGAAAATGTCCTGGAAAACACAACCCATCAAATTGTAAGAAGAAACAGAAAATCTGAAGATCTCTGTAACTATGAAATAAACTATATTCATAATTTATGACCTTCCCATATAGAAGATTAGGCCTAGAAGTTTTCACCAGGGAATTCTACCAAATTGAAGGAATAACGAATAACCTTATATAAATTCTCCCCAAGAATAGTTAAAATAAAAGGTGTGTGTGTGGAGGGGGGCGGGGGGGGGGGCTTCTCTGGTGGTGAAAGGAACATTCTGGCCGACCTCATGCACCAGTGTCTCAGGCCAGCCAAGATTCTCCAAAGCCACAGGGAAGATGTTGGAAAACTCACTGCCACCATTGCCAGAAAGAGCAGCTTATGGCTTTGTTCTTTTCTGAAGCTCCCAGGTTTGGCTTCATATTATATCTTGTATGGACTTTTATTTCTAAATCTTAGCTAAACTCCGTAGGCTTAACCTACTGGCATCAAAATATCGAGCAGTCACATTGCCTGCCTACCTCCTCATTACTATAGTAATCAGTTATGTACTTGTATTTGGAATAAACACGATCAGTACCTCTCCACTCAACTCCATTCATACAATCAGAGAAAAATGCAAAAAATCTGCAGCAGAAGAAATACCAAGAACAGCCTATTCCAACATTGAGAAATATTTTCCTTAATGATGGAAAACAAATGTTCTTTCTCGCAGCCAAAGAACTTGATGCCCAAACCTGAACTGTAGGTGGACTTAATACCAAGTGTTCACTATGTTTTTGGTGTAATAATCTGGACCACAATTATTTTTAGTATTTCTCTTAATTAATACCCGACACTGAAATGTAAAAAAGTTGAACTTCCCTTAGATTAAGCTCCATTAATATTATAAATGTTCCCAACTATTAATTATTAATGGACAGAATAAGTGAAATACTGCATTACCAAATACCATAAGTCCTGAGGAGAGACTTTCATGGTTACCCAGGTGGCCCCTAAACGTCACCCCAACGGTCATTGTAAGAGGCAAGTGGAGAGGGACTTGACATGGAGAAGACCCTGAGGTCAGAGACAGAGACGGGGGGACACAGCCCCGACCCGGAGACCCCGGGACCCCGGGAGCTGGGAGAGGCAGGGAATTCCTCCCCCAGAGCCTCACAGGGAAGGCGGCCCCGCTGCCACCCTGACCTGGGCCGGGTGACACTGACTCTGGACGTCTGCGCTCTGCACCTGAGAGAAGAGACGTCCGTGGCTGCAGCACCCGGCTGGCCCGTGCTAACCGCCATGGCCACGGCAGCCACAGAGCCCGACACGCAGCTGCGCTGGCAGGTTCGGGGTGCCCCTGGCGTGGGGGTGCGTGACGAAGGGAAGGAAGTGATTCCTGCAGACACTGGCAACTGCTTAGGGAGAGCGGCGGCTAGGAATGTGTTCCTGCGGGGGGGCTCCGGGCCTGACCTGCTCCGCGCCTTGGCCTGGGTGGTGACACACAGGTGGCTCCTCAGCAGCTCGCTGGGCTGGCCCTCGTTTTTGTCCCTCTTTCTGAAAGGCTCCAGCTCAGGGAGACAGGGTTCGGGAATGCAGGCTGGGGGCGCGTCGCCACGGCCCACACCACTTCTCTAAGTCAACTTACCGGCTTCTGGATGCTTGAGGCATTAACGGTAAAGTCACTTTTATCTTGTTTAAACACAGATATCACCTCCTCAGGGCATGAGTAGGAGGCCCACTCCTCTATGCTGGCCGGCAAGGCTTCCGGCGGTCGGCCAGGGACCTCGGTTTGATGCTGTAAAGCAGAAACACCGCATTCGCTTCAAAATCCGGCCGAGCTCTAGCAGACAGGTGGCGAGCCGAGAAGGCAGCGCGTCCCTGGCGCCCTTGGAGACGGGGTACTGCCAGGTCTGCACCCTCCGCCCCGCCCTGAGCACCCCTGCATGTGGCTGCTCCCCCTGTGGTCTGCACCTGGGCTGTGAGCCACACCAGAGCCACATTCAATTTCACATCCCAAACCCGCTGACATCACCTCCAAGAGCACGAAGACGACGCTCTCTGCCCCTTGCACAACAGAGTCTACCCGGGGATGCCCCTGCTTGCGGTACCCTCCCCCCCCCATCCCCGGACACCCCAGGCCCGGCCTCGTGGCCCCAGTCTATGGCTGGCGCTCCAGTGTCAGGGCTGCCCAGGCACGTTCACAAGTGCGCACGTGCCTGCTTGGGGTCTTTGCTCTTCTCTCTGTCTTTCTCCTTCTCCCTCCCCGGCTCCTTCTCCTTCCCCTTCTTCTTTTCCTTCTCCTTCTCCTTTTTAGGCAGCAGCAACTGTGAACTAGCTGCTGCTTCTATAATTTTGCTTTCCGAAATCGATTTTCCTGCTGTTAACAATGAAACCTGTGACAAACGAAATCAATGAAATCCAGATTTGCAACATGGAGAACAGCTGTGCCCACGCTCCCACACACGCTTGGATCTGAGGGTGCCAGTGGTCCTATGGCTCCGAGTGGCAACTTCATGCCCACTCGTGTGCCAGGGCCACAGCGGCGAGCCCTCCCTGTGCACGCGTGACTGCAGTGTCCCTTGGCGAGTGGGACACTGGCCTCCAGGATGCTGGCACGGTGGGTACACAGGGCTGACCTCCAAGGAGGGCTTGTCAGCTCTGTGAAGTGAGTTCAGGTCTCTAATTAAGAACACGTATAAATTTTAGCAGTTCTCCTAAAAGAAGCATAAAGAATCCTTGTGTGATGGGTGGTGGGAGAGGGGCTGGGGCACCTTGAAAACCAAGTCCCACCCACTCTTCCTGCTGCCAAGGCCCCCAGCACATTCCGGGGGGGAGGGGTCACTGCCCGCAGGAGGTCCTTGAGAACCACAGGCTCCAAGAGCAGCCCTGTTGGGGCCTGTAAAGAGATGGTGGGGACAGTGGGTGCACAGAAGGTTCTGGAAGCCCAGCAGCAGGGCAGCTCAGGATTGCTGTGCCTGGGCCGCCAAGGGGCAGGAAGATGCAAGCGTGGGCTGGCTGTCCACTCCACACCCAGAGGCTGTGGGCACCCTCGAGGGGGGGCTTCTGGGCAGAGGGGCCAGGGCACTTCTGGATTTTGGAGACAAGTGGCCTCTGCCACTGGAATGGGCCTTCCTTGGTGGGGGGGAGGGTTGTGAGCAGGTGAGGCCCGAGGGCTACAAGGAGAGACTCAGGCTCCTGCCAAGAGCTGGGGACCCAGAAGGGAGCAGCCTCATGTCTCACCTGCCAGATGCGCTTGAGGAACGAGTAGGCCATGAGGCAGTAGTCCTGGTAGTCGGCCGAGCTCGGGGACACCATCAGGGCCAGCAGGGTGTAGGCGCGGGCCAGCGCCTCCAGCTGCCGCACGCTCCAAAGCCCCTCCAGGGGGGCTGCCCCCGCCTCCTCGGACACTGGGCCTTCGGGGGCTGCCTGAGTGGGCAGCTGCTCCTCTGCAAGACAGGGTGCCCCCGGCCATGAGCACGTCCACACTCGGGCATCGTGGGCCCTTCTGAAGGGGGCCTCGGGGACGGGTGTCCAGGGCTCCTCCCCCGGCCAGAGGACCATGAGCCTGTCTGCTGGGGGCTGCAGGTTCTGGAGCCGGGGAGGGGCGGGGGCTGAGATCATGCCCATCCCAGGCCCAGGGGGAGGGAGCCCCCCAGGCGAGCTCGCAGATGCAGATACTACCGACGGGCGTCTGAGCCACCCTCACCTGCCAGCTCAGGTGCGTCCCTGGCAGGTGTCATCACCAGCAGGATGTCAATCGCCCACTTCAGGTGGAAAGTCACATCCCCCATGGGAAACTGCTTGTAATACAGCCACTCGCTGAATTCCATGATGTACTCAACTTTTTGCCACTCACTCTCTGGCTTCTTTGGGATTAAAAAAAAAAGGTCAGAAGGGACAAGTGTTTACCACTCCGCGTCCCAAACACTGGGGCTGGGGTGTCTGCTGCTGATTTTCTGGAAGCAGGTGGAGCACACGCACCCCACCTTCACGGCGGGGGGCCCTCTGGCGGGACTCACACGCCGTCCACGCTCGTGGACAACCTGCCTGCTGCTGAGAGTTTTGTCATGAGACCGAAGCTAGGCAGAGTCTCGGGGTCCCCTCCGCCCCCCTGCAGGCGTCCCCGAGCCTGCCTGTCTTCAGCCCGTGCTCAGCGTTGTGCTTCCCCAGGCGCTCGTTCACATGTGTATGTGAGGCTTTCTCTGGATGGTTCCGCGGTCAACCAGAGCTCCAGGTCAGGGAAGACGCTGTTCTGAGCAGCACGCAGCCGCAGAATCACACACAAACCGGGTCAAAAGTCACTACACGATGGGGGAGGGCTGCTGCCGCCCACCCCTCCCGGAGCAGAGCCAGCCCAGCTCATGGCAGGTCCACCCCCCACCCCCACGCCCCCCACCCCCCACCCCCACGCCGGCAGGAGGAAGGAGGGTGGTGGGGAAGAACAGGAGTTTGCTTCTGGGCGTCAGGCTGGCACGCGGGCAGACAGAGGGGGAGCGGGCAGCGGGGTGTGTGAGGCAACGATAGGGGGCGTCCAGGCCAGACACGAAGTTGTGAGGAGACTCAGGGGTAGAGGTGGGGTTTAGCTCAGGACGCTGGCTGAGATCGCTGGGGAGGGAGGCTTGTGGACGGAGGGAGCCTGAGCCCTGGCCCTCTTCCGGGTTAAGTGGCTGGGGGGCTGGGTCGACAGGCAGGGGGACCTGGGAGCCCAGAGAAGGAAGCCCCTCAGGGCAGGGATGGGTGGGGGGCAGCTCAGGGTGTTCATGGCGGTCTTGGCGGCTTTGGCAAGAGCTTTGCAAAGGAGCTGGCGGGAACCAGAGCCTGGCTGGGGTTTATGACGGGACCATCATCTTCTCAACAAATGGTGATGGGGAAATGGGGCGCCCACATGCCCACACCAGCCACAAAGTATGGCTCAAAACGGAGCAAAGGCTTGAATGTAAGAGCTGAAACAACGAAGCTCCTACGGCAGATACAGGAGTGGATGTGAGTGACCTTGGACTTCGAGGCGGCTTCGGGGACACGGTCCATAAACACAAGCAACAAAAGAAATAGAGTGGACTTCACCAAAACTCTAAACGTCTGTGCTATAAATGCATCACCGACAACGTGAAAAACTGGTTGACGAGACAACGCACATTTATGAACCTCGTATCTCATCAGGGGTTGTGCCCAGGACACATGAGGACGTCCTATAGCTCAACAATAAAATGACAAACAGCCAAATTAAAAATGGGCAACGAATCTCAACAGACATTTCTCTAAAAAAGACAGACAAGGGGCACCCGGACGGCTTAGTCGGTTGAGCATCCTACTTCAGCTCAGGTCATGATCCTGTGGTCTATGCGTTCAAGCCCCCCATTGGGCTCTGTGCTGACGGCTCAGAGCCTGGAGCTGCTTCAGGTTCTGTGTCTCCATCTCTCTCTGCCCCTCCCCCACTCATGCTTCTGTCTGTCTGTCCATCTCTCTCTCTCAAAAAGTAAATAAACATTAAAAAATTTTTAAATAAATAAATAAAAAGATAGACAAATGGCCAATACATGCATGAAAATACATCATTTTCTCTCTCTCTCAAAAATAAATAAATATTTAAAAAAAGGGGGAGGGTGCACCTGGGCAGCAGTTGCTTAAACATCTGACTTCAGCTCAGGTCACGTCTCATGGTTTGTGAGTTCAAGCCCCGCATCAGGATCTCTGCTATCAGCACAGAGTCCAGAGTCTGCTTCAGATCCTCTGTCTCCCTCTCCCTGCCCCTGCCCCACTCTTGCTTTTCTGTCTCTCTCTCAAAAGTAAAAAAACATTAAAAAAGAAAATACACACACACGTGAGTCACCGGGGAGCACAAGTCATCCACAGTGAGGTGGCACAGTCGTCCCCGGGACACTAGGCCAGAAAGCCAGCTGGCAGCCTTGGCCCGGACGCAGACACACTGGGGCCCTGGCCGCTGCTGGTGAGAGAGGGCAAGGGGACAGCGAGCGCCCCCGGAAGGCCACGTGGAGCCCCCGCACCCTGCGTTTGCTGCTACGTCTGTGCCCGAGGGGAGCGTGACGTGTCGTGTGGCATCAGCCACAAGAGCTAAACACGGAAGCAACACACACGCCCGCCAACAAAATGTGATCTGACGACATATCCACACGGCGGGGCCTCCCCAGCCAGAGAAACGACGAAGCCTGGACCCAGCCGTAACCCAACAAAGTCTGGACTCGTTATGCTAAATGAAGGATGCCAGTCACAAAGGACACACCCTGTGGGAAACGTCCAGAACAGACAAACCCATTCAGGCAGGAAGCAGACTGGTGGGCGGTGGTGGGTGAGGGCAGCGGCTGCTAACGGGCCAGGTCTCCTGGGCATGGGCAAGTGTTCTAAAGCTTACAGTGGCGGCTGTGCGGCCCTGTGAATTTATGAGAGTACATCTTGTACCCTAAGAAACAAGAAATAAGGAATGAGGGGACCTGGGTCAGTGGGGACAGATAGCCTTTGCAAGGAGCCGGGTGCTGAGGAAGCCTTTCCCTGGAGGGCTGGGGTCCACACTGCCTGGTCCCTTGAACCCTGTGGGGACTCTGGTCCCAGGAGCCTCTTCACTGACCACTGGGCCTGGACCACACAGAGCCCGTGTTTGGACTCAGAGCAGCGTCCTGACCAGTCCCCAGTTACCTCCTTCCCAAGGGACCCGCCCCAAGGGCCCTGGCTCCGCTGACACACCTCACGGCGGGATCTGCTCCAGAGTGACAGTCTGAGTACCAGAAAAGCCCCGGCAGTTATTTGGTGCTGCTGCGTCTTCAGGACAACCTCGTCACATGACCTACAGGGCACCTGTCCCCCAGCAGAGCCCCGCTGCTCTGGTGGAATGTCTGCCGTGGTTCTTGTTGACGGGGGAGAGCCCCGAGAACCCCGAATCGCAGAAAGTGACAGACCCGCCCCTCCAAGGCCACTGGGGCCTCGGGCCGCCCCTGGGGTGGGCTTCACCCCCTTCCCCCACAACCATCCCCCAAGCAGTGACGGGGGCGCCGCACCCACGCGAGGACCTCTCCCTCCACGCTGGAAGGTGCCACGGAAGACAAGGGTCTGCCTGCTGCCCTGGACTCATCAGAAGGGTGCGTCCCCTCCCTGCGGCTGCGCCCCATCCCTCCACTGGGCCAGGGGTTCCTTCCGGGGCCTCCCACGTGGGGTCCCAGGGGCCGGGCCTCCCTCTTCGGGGCCACGTCCACAAGTGAGGGGTTGACGTCACAACCACCCAGGCAGACCTGTAAGGCTTGGATGGCGTTGTGATAGCAGATCAGCTCTCCATGCACACTCCTCGAGTTCAAGGCCAGACGGTGCCACATGTGTGCCAAGTAATCTTCACTTTCGTCTTTGAATTTCTGTATTTCCATCGTAAAATTCTGGCCAAGTTTGGCCTTCACAATGACCATATGTTTGAAAATTAGGCTAAAAAAAAGCAAAAGAGAGAAATTAATGCTTGAATTGGATCATAAACAATTAAATATATATAATGCATCTAAAACTAAGAAATTTTTGTCCATTTTCCTACTTACAAAGACAAAACAAAATGGAACCTGAGTTACTTGGGGCTTTTGTGTTGTGTTTTCTTTTATCATTACTTCTGTGTGTTTGAAGTCCCCTCCCTTCTTGTGTTGAGTCCCAGGGGGGGAGACAGTGCAGACGGGGGTGGGGCAGGCCCTGATGAGACAGGCAGGGGAGCCGACCAGGCGAGGCCCCCCCGGGGCGGGGGGGGAGGGGGGGCGCTCACAGGCGGTGCGCCGTCCGGGGCAGCACCTGCACGGCCTCGTCCAGAACTCTGAGGCCGCCCTCCCAGTCGCCGCAGTCCGCGTGGCAGTGGAAGAGGAGGCCGTAGAGCGCGGCGCGCAGCGTCAGCTCGTCCTCGGCACCTGCGGCAGGAGACGTGCCAGGGCTCCGGGAAGGGGCAGCTCCGGTCGCCCCGGGGCCAGCCACACATAAGAGGCTCAGGGGGGCTCACCGTCCCCACAGCCCCACTGTTCCCCTTCCTCCGCGTGGCTCACCTTCAGCAGTTACTTCCTGAGCACCCCCGCCCCCCCGGCGGGGCCCCCACACCCCCTCTACCGGAGCTTGTCCCAACTGTGTCCCCCGAGCCCTTTGTCTGTTTCAAACTCCTGTCACTTTTCTTTCTTTCTTTTTTAATGTTTTATTTATTTCTAGGAGAGAGAGAGAGACAGCGTGAGCAGGGGAGGGTCAGAGAGAGAGGGAGTCACAGACTCTGAAACAGGCTCCAGGCTCCGAGCTGGCAGTCAGCACAGAGCCCGACGCGGGGCTCGAACCCACGAACCGCGAGATCATGACCTAAGCGAAAGTCGGACGCTTAACCGACTAAGCCACCCAGGCGCCCCTATTATCATCTCATTTTAATCTCTCTGTTTTTACAAATTTTTTTTAAATGTTTTATTTATTTCTAGGAGAGAGAGAGACAGCGTGAGCAGGGGAGGGTCAGAGAGAGAGGGAGTCACAGACTCTGAAACAGGCTCCAGGCTCTGAGCTGGCAGTCAGCACAGAGCCCGACGCGGGGCTCGAACCCACGAACCGCGAGATCATGACCTAAGCGAAAGTCGGACACTCAACCGACTAAGCCCCTCAGGCGCCCCATCAAACTCGTGTCACTTTCCTAACTCGTGAGGGAAGAAGAATCCCTTCCCGAAAGCCCTCATCCTCACTGCTGGGCGTGGGCCCCGCAGGCGGCGCCGTGCTGACGGACGGAGACCACACCGCCCTGCTGACTTGTCACCGTGGCACTGCCCAGCTTCAGGGCCCCATTGTCCCACGTAAGCAGAGGCCCGTCTCGGGTACAGGATGATAGGGCAGCTCTATTTTACATCGTCGACCATGTAGCTTTTCTTGCCGTTTGGATGCGGGAGCAGATGGGAGAGTGCCCGTGGATCCTGCCACGCACACGGCCACGCCGCCAGCGCCAGCACACACTGCCTGGGACCCGTGTGGCCTCTACAGCGCCAGTGTTGGGATCTCAGGACACAGGTGTCCCTGTGTCCTCGCCCAGCAGCCGGTAGATGCAGGCACGTGACCAGCCAAGCCCGTCAACCCCGGACAACTCGGGGGCCTCACACTGGGGCAGCGAGGACTGCCTGTCGTTTCAGCCCGACCAGCTCAGGCTACTGCCCTTGGCTCTGCATTTCTTTGATCCGTGCCGAAGAGCAGTATCCTCGCTGATGCACCGTCACGGTCACGGCTTTGGACCGTCTACTGCTCTTCCCGTCCGTCCCTTCCCGCCAAACACTCCCTGTCGTCTGGGGCCTGTGCGCTGGGGCCCCTCCTGTCCACCCCTTCCCCGCAGGCCCTGGATGGAGTCAGGATGGCGGCCCCACCAGGGAGGCCACTGCTGGGTGGAGCTGAGCCTCTGGGCGCTGGCGTGACTGGCAGCCCAGCCATCCTGACTAACACGACTGTGTGCCACGAAGTTACTCACTGAGCTCCCACATTCGGTGAAAATATTCTCCCAGTGCTTACTTCTTATTTTTCTGATTTTCTCAGTATTCTCATTATTTAAATTTTTGTATATTTGAAGGTGTGACTCTTTGCTCACCTTGAAGTTTAAGAAGCAATCCTCTCACAAAACACGTAGTGTGCTCAACTGTACTTTCTGATCTTTCCTCTACAATTGGACTTCCTTAGTACTGCTGAACTAACCTACTCGATCTTCATTCTGATATGTGGAGTTCAGCGTGGACTGGACTTGCAGAGCCCCCCCCCACCACCCCCCAGCAGAGCCACATTCCGCCAGGCGCCTGGCGCAGAGCCCAGGCTGGTTCGGTGCTCAACTCACTCTTTAATCACACATGGTCATACTGTTGCTCATTATTTTAAATCAACTTTATCTAGGGCCGCCTGGGTGGCTTAGTCGGTTGGGTATCCGACTTTCGCTTAGGTCATGATCTCGCGGTTCATGGGTTCGAGCCCCGCGTCGGGCTCTGTGCTGACTGCCAGCTCAGGGCCTGGAGCCTGTTTCGGAGTCTGTGACCCCCTCTCTCTCTGACCCTCCCCTGCTCACGCTGCCTCTCTCTCTCTCTCCTAGAAATAAAAATATTTTAAAAATAAATAAATAAATAATCAACTTTATCTCTCCCAAGAGATCTGCAGTACTCGGGGAGGGGGGCCCGCTGCCCTAACCCACGACATTTACACCCCTAATAGACACCGAGATCCTTGCAGTAACAGGAATGATTATTTTGAGCAGATAATCATCTTCTTTCTTTAAACTTGAATTCTTAAATATGGTTTTACTGCTCTAAGTTCAGTTTGTGTTTTGCTTTCCTTTTTCAGGAGTTCCTGTCCACGCTGGCTCTGGAAGTACACGAACGCGATTTATCTGCCCGAGGAACCCAGAGGCCAAGCCCCCGGGCAGCCACCACAGAGACAGCCACCAGCCGCCGAGAGCCCAGCTCCAAACCAGGGGCCGGACAAGGGGGCCTCCCGGGCTTCGCCTTCCCCGTGTGCACAGGAAGTCGCTCACGGAAAGCACAGCGTGCCCGTCACACATGACCCGCTCCCGTGGTGATGAAGCCAGAGGTACATTAGGGCGCCTCCCGTTCCCTGTGCTGCGGCTGTATCTCGGATCGACAAACCTGGGAGAAAGTGGCCTTCAGGAGCCCCTCCATTCTGGAAGTCCGCTGTGGGCCACTGGTGCAGAAGCAGGGCTTTCCCTCTTCCCTAAGGTAAAAACAAAGAAACCACACATATATTGCCAAGTTGCAATTTATTCTTTCACCATCTTGATTTTCATTTGCCTCAGCATCTAAATGTAGAAATTGAAGCTAATTTCTGAACTACTAAGCCACAGGAAGTGAAGTCACATTTCACCCATAAGAAAAGGCTCCCCAGCACACTGAGAACACAGACAGGGGCTCCGCACACAGTCTGCAGCCTTTTTAATGACGTGGCGGCTTCACATCAGTTCTAGAGCTTGAAATCAATGGGATTGAAAGCACATTAGAAAAGACCATAGGGGCGCCTGGGTGGCTCAGTTGGTTAAGCTTCCGACTTCACCGCAGGTCATGATCTCACATGGATTTGAGCCCCACGTCTGGCTTTGTGCTGACAGTGATCAGAGGGAAGTTTATAGATGTAATACCTACACTGGAAAAGGAGGATCTCAAATCAACAACCTAACTTTATACCTTAAGGAACTAGAAAAGAAATAAGCTAAACCCAAAGCCAGCAGAAGGAGGCCAATAATAAAGATTATAGAAAAGATAAACGAGAGCATAGTAAGATAATAGAGGAAATTGATGAAACCCAAAGCACTTTGAAAAGATCAAGAAAACCGACAGAACTTTAGCAAGACTAACAAAGAAAAAAAGCAAAAAGACACAAATAACAAAATCAGATATGAGGGGCGCCTGGGGGGCTCAGTCAGTCAAGCATCTGACTTCAGTTCAGGCCATGATCTCACGGTTCTTGGGTTTGAGCCCCGCGTCGGGCTCTGTGCTGACGGCTCAGAGCCTGGAGCCTGCTTTGGATTCTGTGTCTCTCTCTCTGACCCTCCCCTGCTCATGCGGAAGCAGGACCATACCCACCCGGGAGAGACAGAGGGGATTCTAAGAGAAGCCTGCAGCCTGGCACATACAGACAAATTAGAAGATCTAGAAGAAATGAAAAAATACTTTATTTTTATTTTTTTTTTTTATTTCTAGGAGAGAGAGAGAGAGAGACAGCGTGAGCAGGGGAGGGTCAGAGAGAGAGGGAGTCACAGACTGAAACAGGCTCCAGGCTCTGAGCTGGCAGTCAGCAGAGAGCCCGACGTGGGGCCCGAACCCACGAACCGTGAGATCATGACCTAAGCGAAAGTCGGACGCTTAACCGACTAAGCCACCCAGGCGCCCCGAAAAAATACTTTAAAACACACAAATTGCCCAAGCTAACTCACTAAGAATTGGAAAATCTCAACAAACTTAAACAAGCAGAGGCTGAATCAGTAATCAGAAACCTCCCAATAAAGACAAGTCCTGGACCCAAGGCTCATGGGTGGATTCTACCAAACATCTAAAGAATTGACATCGAAGGAATCCTCCTCAACTTCCAAACAGTGAAGAGGAGGAAATACTTGCACACTGAGTCTGACACCAGCATTGCTTTGACAGCAAATCCAGACAATGACATCACAAGAAAATTACAGACCAAAACAGTACTCTATGAATACAGATGCAAAAATCCTCACCAGAATTGAACAAATCAAATCCAGCAGCATAGTAACAATATTATTCACCATGACCCCATGTGTTCTCAGGACCCAAGGGTGGTTCCACAGAAGATCGAGCCACGTAATCTGTCACATTAATAGCACGAAGGAGAAAACCCACATGATAATCTCAACTGATGGAGAAAAGGCATCTGAGAAAATCCAACCACTTTTCACCATAAAATCTGAGAAAACTAGGAATAATGGGAAAATTCCTCAACACACAAAAGGTAATTATGAGCAACCCACAGCTGAAATTGTGCCCGACAGTGAAACCTGAAGCTTCCTGCGAAAGTCAGGAGCAAGGTGAGGATGCCTGCTTTCACCGCTGCTGTTTCAACATTTTACTGGAAATTCTACCAGAGCAATGGCTGGTCACCCAAAACAGAATAAAAGGTATCCAAAGTGGAAAGGAAGAGGGAAAGCCGTCTCTATTCACAGATGATATGTCCTACATATAGAACATCCCAGAGAATCCCCAAGAAAACCACTTGGGCTAATAAATGAATGTAGCAAAGCTGCAGGACACAATGATACAACAAGCAGTTGTTTTTCTACGTATCAGCAATGAACAATCCGAAAACGAAACTAGGAAAGTGCTGTGGACTGAGTTGTGTCCCCTCCCCCTCAACCAAGTTCACATGCGGAAGCACAAATCCGCAATGTGCTGACATTTGGAGATGAGGCACTTGAGGGGCAGCTCGGGTTAGATGAAGTCATGGGGTCCTCGTGGTGGGAGGATGAGACACCAGAGATCCTGGTCACCCCACACGGCCCCCAAACGAGGAGAGAGCAAGAAGGCAGATGTATGCAAGACGGGAAAAGGGCTTTATCGGAACCTGGCCATGCAGGCTCCCTGATCTTGGACTTCCTTCCAGATTCCAGAAGAGTAAGAAACAAATTTCCACTGTTTCAGACACCCAGTCACCCAGCATTTTGTTATGGCAGCCCGCGCTAAGACAGAAAGCAATTTCGTTGAAACTATCACCTAAAAAATTAAATACTTCCAAAGAGGTGAAAGACATATATGTTGAAACTATGAAAACATTGCTGCAAGTGAAGAATACCTGTATGGATGGAAAAAAAGGTTAAACTGTCTCTAGCACCCAAAGTGATCTACAGATTCAACAGAATCCCTCAAAATTCCAACACCCTTTTTCAAAGAAATGGAAATGCCAAACCTCAAATTCACGTGGAATTGCAAGGGGCTCCAAGTAGCCAAAACAATCTCAAACAAGATTAATAAAGTGGGAAGGCGCATGATTCTTGACTTTGAGATTTATCACAAAGTACAGGATGCAGATCAGTGTGATCTGGGCACAAGGACAGACACGCAGACCGATGGAACAAAACAGAGCCCAGAAATAAACTCTCGGATATAAGGCAGAATGTCTTTTGATAAGGACACCAAGATAATCCAATGGGGAAAAAACACTCTTTTCAACAACTGGTGCTGGGTGGGGTACCTGGGTGGCTCAGTCGGTTAAGCATCAGACTTTGGCTTGATCTCACAGTTTGTGAGTTCGAGCCCTGAACTGGGCTCTGTGCTGACAGCTCAGACCTTGAAGCCTGCTTCAGATTCTGTCTCTCTCTCTCTCTCTCTCTCTCTCTCTGCCTCTCCCTTGCTCATGCTCTGTCTCTCTCTCTCTCAAAAATAAATAAACATTAAAAAAATTAAAAAAACAGTGCTGGGAAAACTCGATTTTCATAGGCAAAGAAATAAAACTGTCCCCCTGGCTTACACCACATACTAAAATTAAGTCAAAGTGGGGGAAACCCTAAACATAGGATCTGAATCTATAAAACGCTTAGAAGAAAACATTGGAAAAATTCTTCATGGCATTAGATTTGGCAACGACTTCGTGGACGTGACACCAAAAACATAGGCAAAAAGAAATACAGAGTTACACTTCATCAAAATTAAGAACTTTTCTGTGTCAAAGGATACCATCAAGGGAGCGAAAAGGCAGTCAAATGAATGGGAGGAAAGAAATCTGAAAATCTTGTTTGATAATTAATATCCAGAATATACAGAGACCTCTTGCAATTCAACAATGAAAAACAATCCAAAAATGGGCAAAGGACTTGAACAGACATTTCTCCAAAGAAAACATGCAGATCACTAATAAGCATGTGAAAAGATGCTCAGAATCATTTGTCATCAGGGAGACACAAATCAAAGCCACAATCAGCTACCACTTTACACCTACTGGGATGGGTATAATTTTTTTTTTTAATGGGAAAGAAGCGCTGACAGGATGCGCAGAAGCTAGAACCCGCTGGCGGGAGCGTACGGCGGTGCAGGTGCTCTGGGAAACAGCTTTGCCTCCAAAGGTTAAACACAGAAGTACCATCTAGCCCAGCAATGCTACTCCTAGGTGTAGACTCAAAAGAAGTGACAGCAGGGACATAAATATATTTGCACGCCCATGTCTGTAGCAGCACTAGTCACAACAGCGAAAAGATGAGGCAATCATGTCCAGCAGTAGATGAGCGGACAGACAAAACGTGCATGAGCCTGGGCAACACTGTGCTGAGTGACAGAAGCCAGACACAGAAGGACAAACACTGTGTGATTCCTCTTCAACGAGGAACCTAGGGGTGTCCCACTCAGAGGTAGAGAGCGGGATTGTTGTTTGAGGGGACGGTTTTTGTTGAGGAAGATGAAAAAGTTTCAGGCACAGACCCTGGTGGTGGCCACACAGCACTGTAAATATAATTAAGGTCACTGAATTATATACTTTTGAAAGGTTAAAGTGGTAACTATATTATGTATATTTGGTCATATTTTTAAATAGTTTATTGTCAAGTTGGTTTCCATATAACACCCAGTGCTCATCCCCACAAGTGCCCTCCTCCATGCCCATCAACCCCCTTATCTACACGATGGAATACTCCATGGCAATGAGAAAGAATGAAATCTGGCCTGTGTAGCAACGTGGATGGACCTTGAGGGTGTTATGCTGAGCGAAATAAGTCAGGCAGAGAAGGACAGATATCATATGTGTGCACGTATAGGAGGACTAGGAGGAACTTAACGGAGGAACAAGGGGGAGAAGAAGGGGGAAATGGTGGGGGAGAGGGAGGGAGGCAAACCATGAGAGACTCTGCAATGCTGAGGGGAAGGGGGTGATGGTCATAACTTTTTTAAAAGCCCATGGGAAAGAAGTGAACTTTAGGTAAGTTTCATAAATGTCTAGACCCAGGTTTGGCAAATTTTTTCTGTAAAGTGCCAGATGGGAAGTACTTCTGGCTTTGTGGGTCACACGGCCTCTGTCACAATTACTCCATTCTGCTGCTGTAGCCAAGCCACAGACAATACGTACATGAACAGGCGTGGCTATGTCCCAATAAAACTTTATTTACAAACATGGGAAACAGGCTAGATTTGCCCCCCTGCCCCCCCCCAGGGGCATTGCCCACACCTGGCTTAGACTATCAGAGGTCATAAAGATCTTTGTAAGAAAATAGGAAGCATCAACCAATTTCTTCTATGAGGCTCTGATTTTCAACTTTCCTCTTGCTGTCCCTTGAACGGCAGTCTCCCCGACCAGAGACAGGGCTGTGGGCCCTCCTGCCACAGGCCTGGGCAGCTCCCCCGTCTCGTCGTGTCCCCCCATAACCTCCCACGGCTCGTCTGGCTGCGGGCCTCTGAGGGCTCTGCCGGCCCCTAGACTGAGGCCCACGGAGCTCTGTCCGTGCTCTCTCCCAGCCCGTGTGACCACGGACCGCTGTCTGCCAAGGCCGCAGGCACAGGTCTGAGCTCCGCCTCCGCGGGCAGGCAGGACGCCCCACGGAGGCCCCGCTCCGCACACCTGCTTTCTCACTTCTGTCTTATTGATGATGCTGATGAGCCTCTGCACGGCGCTCCTGGCCTTCCTCCTGCTGGCGGCCGAGGACAGGAGCGGGAGCCAGGTGTTCCAGCAGCGCCTCGCCGCCAGCATCACCAGGGCGCTGCTCTCCGCGACGCCCCCAAACCTGAAAGGGAATTCCTGACCTGGAGACGTGTGGACGCCGATGATACAGCAGCAACACACGAAGCTTCTCGATTTACCGGGGAGCGGGCCAGGCTGGGTGCCACGGCTGCCCCAGATGCATGCACCCCCTCCCTCCCGCGCCCACGCGGCCTGCGGCGACCCACTAGTGCCCGAGGGCCTCTTGAACACAGGGTGGAGTGGATGTCACTGCAAGGGGCGAGACAGCCCCAGCCACAGGGTCACAAGGGAGGGCCCGCCCTCGGGGTTTAGCGGCAGCCCCCACTGAGCGCCAAGACCCCCATTCACGACCGCCGCTGTCATCTACGCGCGATGCGGCCCACCTGGCACCCTCCATGAAGGACCTGGCGGCCGCCAGGCGCAGCTGCTTCCTGCCCTTCAGGTTCTCCAGGGTGCTCCTGCCCTGCACGCAGGCCGCAGCGCTCAGCATCTCCGCCACCAGCCGGGTCTCCACCCTGCGGACAGAGCAGGGCCTCTCATGCGGGAGGGCCCTTCCGGGGGATACAGGGGCTGTGCAGGAAGGCGAGCGGGCCCTGGGGCATCCAGAGTAACTCGCGAAAGTCCCCAGACCACAGCAAACTAGTCCCACCAACCTGCAGAGCCGTGAGCAGCGTTTTGAATGACTGACTTGTAACCTGTTTTGCTGTGCAGCCGCCAGCGGTGAGCGCGGCGAGCCCGTGCTGGGCCCCCCCACCCCGCATGGCTGAGCCCCACCGGGGGCAACGGGGCCCCGTTCCCTGTGCCCCAGCGTGCTCGTCTCAGAGGGCCTCCGCTCGGCGCCAGAGCTCAGTCCGATCCGGTTTCGACTCAAAGCCGTGTCAAGAACGCCAGACCTCCTCCCAAAACGTGTACGACCCCCGCGTCGCCACGGCTTGTGCACGTGGGACAGCACACACGCCGAGGCATCGCCCCCGGGAGGACGATCCCGTGCTGGGGGCAGCAGGTCCCCAAAATGCAGCTCAGGGGGCACTGGATTCCTTCTAAGAGAAATGCACATGCTCCTGAGCAGACTCTCCACGGGCCCCGAGTCTTTCTTTTTGCAGAGTGTCTCTTGAAAATAGCTTCTAGTTGGGTCTTGCTTCTTGTATTCAGTGGGATAAACCCTACATTTTATTTTAAGTGGAGTGGCAGTTCGTTTACGCTCGACAGATACGTCGGTGTGGTGGGGGTGGAATCTTCCATTGTGCTTTGCTTTCCTCTGACCCGTATGTTGTTTCTTTCCCGTATGTAGTTTCTTTCCTCCCCTCTTTGGGGCTAATTGAATAATTTTTCAGTATTCCATTTCATCTCCTCGATTGGATTTTTAGTTATACTTTTTTTTTTTTTACTATTGTTTTAGAACTTGCTGAAGAGATCGTAACATACATCCTTGACTTACAGCGTAGCTTGGATTCGTACATCGTTTCACAGGTGATGGGAAACCTCTGGACAACATTCTTCCACGTGCCATTCGCGTTATCATGTCATGCAGTTTACTTGTACCTTTATTAAGAATCCCACAGTGCAACGTACTTTTGTTTTAAAAAGGCGAATGTCTTTTAGAGAATTTAAGAGCCTAGAGGGGAAAACCGTCTGTGCTCCCCCACACCGTCACCACTCGGGGCACCCTCCTGGCTTCTCGACCACGCTCCCTCGGCCGTCACCCTCTCTCAGCCTGAAGAACGTGACCTGGCACTGCTTCCAGCTCTTCAGGGAGTGGATCGTCTACCTTCAGTTTGTCTTATGTCTTGATTCTGCCTTCATTGTTTGAAGGATAGTCTGGCAGGAATTCCCGACTGACGGTTTTATTTTCCTTCTCTAACACCTAACGCAGTAGGCAGCCCGCACTGCTGCTGCTGAGAAGTCCACAGGCTCGCTCCTGCCCTCCTACACGCAATGCACCAGTTTGCCTTCGGACTTCTTTCCAATGATTTGTTGCCTTCGGTCGGCAGCACCGTGACAACAGTGAAAATAGCTGCGGCTTTGTGTTTATCCTGCTTGGAGTCACTGAAAATCTTGGATATCTGGGTTGATGTTTTTAACCAAATCTGAAAAAAATAAGCTATTCTATCTTCAAATATATGTATTTCTGACTCCCTCTCTTGCCTGCGTCCTGAGGCTCCTATTTCCCTCGTGTTAGGCCACTCGATTCTGCCCCATGTGTCACTGAAGTTCTGTTCATTTTGCTTTTCTTTTTTCCCTGTGCTTTGGTTTCAATACTCTGTTGACCTGCACTTGACCCGCACTCACAGGTACCTATCACTTCTTCAGTGTTCAGGTGTTAAACTCTCCCAGGAACGTCTCCAGACATTGTGTTTTTCAGCTCTGTGATTTCCACTTAGTTATTACAGTTTCCATTTCTTGGTTGAAATTCCTCGCCTGTACACTAATTTTTCCAATAAAATGCTTTCTTGTATTTATAACAGCTGTTTTAATTTAAGTTTTAAATTTGTTGTCTGCTAATTTCAAAATTGGTGTCATATCCGGGTCTGTTAATTGTTTCTATCCTACTGACTGTATTTTCTCCTGGTATGGGAGAACATTTTCTCTTTTCTCCATGTGTCTAGTAATTTTTTATTTTATGCTGGACACTGCAAGGGCTATATTGTTGAGTGTGAATGATGCTGCCTTCCTTTAATGGGATGTTGGGGTTCATTCTGACAGGCAGTTAATTTACTGGTGCCTCAGTTTACCCCACCAAGATTTGAATGAGGCTTTTTTTTAGGATAAGTCTAGAGTAGCCCTTAGAGCCCTATTCCTGAGGCATGACCTTTTTGGATGCCTGGCAGCCTGACTCTGGTTGTCAGTTCCAGCATCTCTCTGCAGCTTAAAACTCACACCTCCGTGCCTGTGGACACACACACTCCATCCAGTAATCTCCTCTCTCACGTCATACTTCACAAATGCCAGCTGCCGCCGCAGCCCCAAGCATGGGTCCCTGTTTTGTCCCGCTATGTCTTCTGTCTGGGCTCCACTCTCCAACCCCACCCCACAGAAAGCAAGGGTGAATGTGCAGCCGCGTTTGATGTTCCCTTCTTGCAGAAGTTTCTGCTCTGGGTCATCTGTTGTCCAGTGCCTGGCAATGACTGTTTCATGTATTCTACCGAGCTCTACAGCTTTGCTTGGAGCACAAGAGTATAATACCTGTTACTGTGTCATGGCCAGAAATGATAGGAAAAGGGACTTGCAAATTTGTATAAAAACCCAACATTGATGATTATGTGAAATGAAAATGTTGAACAAAGTCAAAATGTCCCGAATATTCTTAGACTATCTATTTTGTGTCTATTTTAAGGATCTACATGAAATTTTTTATTCATGGATATTCCTTTACACTGATAGTGTGAATGTGAAAATTATTCTGGTTATGAAACACTCAGAGATAAAAATATTGATTAGTAACTATACTACTTTCCACCAAGAATTAAAGATTATTTTTACTATTTCTGTGAATTGCTATTATAAAATTACTCTGTGACTAATTCCACACTAGACTTTCTACCTATAACTTGCAAAGTGGAAAAATTAGCATAAAAATTTGAAATATGTGTAATTTTCTTTAAAAGGTGAATCATCTGCTGTGCACGCCATGTGGCTGAATGTGACCCCGTATCCTGCCTGACTAGGCACAAGGTCCAACGCTCTGAGTGACCAGCAAGATCACGATAAAGTGTGGCACGGCTTCCGGAACCGAGGGCCATGTCTCTCCACCTGCCAAGCACCCAGGAGCGTGCGGGACACACGCCGGGAGGGCTGGATGAAAGGTCAGAACCACAGTCAGACCCAGGAAAGAGGGGCAATACCCCTGAGTGCAGTAACTCCACTCACCACTAGGGGACAGTGGTGTCATACAAATGAGCTTTCAAAAGTCCCAGTGGGAATTACTTTATAGTACCTCCACTTTCCCTATTCCTATTTGCATACATTTCTATTTTTAACCTTACTTTATTATATAATATTTGTCATTTTAAAATAAAACTCAATGTAAGAATCACTGAAGAAGAATGGCAAGGCCACGGCACACGTATCTCTACAGCTACGCCTGCCGCCCCGCCCGAGTCCTGGCCCGCTGCCCCCAGCAGTGAAGTCAGTCCCAACCCAACTGCAGAGAGACCATGCAGCAGCACTCGTGTGCCGGCTCCTTCTAGAAGAATGTCCTTGCAGTTTCTCTTTTCAAAATCACTTGTGAATTTTTATCAAAACGGTACCTGCACGTGGGGAAGGATGACTACTCCGCTCGCAGCACTGCTCCCTACGGGGAGTGGCTTCTGAACATGTGCGCTTGCCTCTAAAACCTGGCCTCTAACTTGATTTCCCAGCGTGTCAGCTGCACACGCCACCGGTGGAGTTCTCACAACCACAGGTGAAGCCTGGGGCCGCTGGGGGCTCAGTCGGCTGAGCGTCACTCTTGATTTCAGCTCAGGCTGTGATCTCGCGGTCGTGAGCTCGAGCCCCTTGCCGGGCTCTGCCCTGACAGCACAGAGCCTGCTGGGGGTCTCTCTCCCTCTGCCGCTCGCGCTCACTTGCTCTCTCTCATTCTCTCGCTCTCAGAATAAATCAATAAATATTAAAAAAAATATTCAAGATTCACTTTTTCTCTCCCTCTGCCCCTCTCCCTCTCGTGTGTGCTCTCCCTTTAAAATTAAAAAATATTTTTTATTTTTAAAAATTTAAACTACCCAGACCCTCCTTTTGCCTTCCTGCCAACTTATTAATGTAGACGATTTTACAGCATTAATTTAATCCTCCTATTTATTCTCTTTATTATTTAAAATATCATACTAGCTGCAGACCTCGGGGACACTCAGCAAGTGACACCTGACTGCTCACCTTCTTGGCCGAGGGCGTTTACCACAGCCATTCTCCTCCCTTCTGGACCCTCCCCTCCCCTGCAAGGGTCTGGCCTTTGTAGTTTCAAAACTGGTAACATTTATCTTTTGTTAAATAGCCACAAATGTTAATCCTAAAACCAAAGAATCGGTGAACAGCATGATAATGCAAAACTTACGTCTCCTGGACTTTCCAACTGGCTTTTTCTCCACTGTCTCGTTTTCATTCGTCACTGTGCCTTTTCCCCTCTTCACGGCACGGGGTCCTTCCCTGCCCTCAGCCCCCAGAGCCCCCTCCATCCTGCTCCAGTGTAGACAGGGTGCCCTCCCGGCAAGCAGCACAGCGTGACAACTCTGGAATGAGCTTTCCAGCCCCAGCACAGCCTCCCACATGTCTCTCTCGTTTGGTTTCTTCCCTTGTTTTTCTGGAACATTTCCTTCAGGTAACTTTCCAAAAACAGGTGTATGGGAGATACATATTCCAGGCCGCTGTCTGTCAAAAACATGGCTTTCCTTCTGAATATATTTGACTGGATATATTTGAGTGGGTTAAAATTCGAGGCTGAAAATTATTTCCACCTAGAAAGCTCCATTTTTCTTCTGCCTTCCAGTGTTTGGAAAAGGCTGCTGCATTGATGTTGTCTGCGACTCTGCAGATGGAGTTCTTTTTTTTTTAATTTTTACTTTTATTCAAATCCAAATTAATTAATATGTAGTGTAATAATGGTTTTAGGAGTAGAATTTAGTGATTCATCATTTCCGTATAACACCCAGTACTCATCCCAACAAGTGTCCTCGGTGAGGCTCATCCCCCATCTAGCCCATCCCCCCTCCCCTCCAGCAACCCCCGTTTGTTCTCTGTATTTAAGAGTCTCTTATGGTTTGCCCCCCTCTGTTTTTATTTTACTTTTCTTTCCCTTCCTGTGTTCATCTGTGGTGTTTCTTAAATTCCGAAATGCGTGAAATCATATGAGATTTGTCTTTGTCTGATTGACTTCTTTTGTTCAGCATAATACACTCTAGTTCCATCCACGTTGTTGCAAATGACAAGATTTCATTCTTTTCGAGTGCCGAGTCCTACTCCATTGTGTATATAAACCACATCTTCGTTACCCATTTGCCAGGTGATGGACATTTGGGCTCTTTCCATACTTTAGCTATTGTTGATAGCGCTGCTATAAACATTGGGGTGCATGTGCCCCTTCAAATCAGCATTTTTTATCCTTTGGGTAAATACCTAGTAGTGCACCTAGTAGTGCTGGGTCATAGGACAGTCCCGTTTTTAGTTTCTTGAGGAGCCTCCACACTGTTTTCCAGGGTGGCTGCTCCAGTTTGCATTCCCACCAACAGTGCAAAAGAGATCTTCTTTCTCCGCATCCTCGCCAACACCTGTTGTTCCCTGAGTTCTTGATTTCAGCCACTGACACGTGTGAGGTGGCATCTCAGTGTGGGTCTGATTTCTATTTCCCTCACGATGCTGAGTGATGTTGAGCATCGCTTCCAGTGTCTGTTGGCCACCTGGATGTCTTCTTGGAAAAGTGTCTATTCACATCTTCTGCCCGTTTCTTCACTGCATTATTATTTTTTGGGTGTTGAGTTCTTTAAGTTCTTTATAGATTTTGGATCCTAACCCTTTATCTGATATGTCGTTTGCAAACAATTCCTCCCATTCTGGCAGTTGCCTCTTAGTTTTGGTGATTGTTTCCTTTGCTGCACAGAAGCTTTTTATCCTGATGAGGCCCCGACAGTTCATTCTTGCTTTTGTTTCCCCGGCCTCTGGAGACATGTCTAGTTGCTGAGGTGCAGACTGATTTCTTTTAAAGGCGTTAGGACGCTCTCTTCATCTGTGGTGACTCAGCGTGTCCCGTGGTGCATCTGCTGCGAGGGTCTCTTCGTTCCCCCTGCACTTGCAGCAGTTTCCGGCACGCTCCTGCCTACGGAGAGGGCACGTGGCTACATGGCACCACCCAGTGGCCTCTGGGAGCGTGGGCCCAAACCTAGCTCTGCCACCTGCCAGGGAGGTGGCCTCTGAGCACAGACTTAGCCTGTGCCTGCCTCAGTTTCCTCATCTGCAACATGAGAACAGTGGCTCCTACCGGGGAGCCGGTTGAGGTGCGGCTGCAGAGCCCTCGGAGGGAGCCACGCCCACCGTGTGCCGCCCCCCTCACGAACCTAAGCGCGACTGAGCCCCTGGCCACGTGGAGGTCAGCGGTGTTAGGATGTCTCAGATGGCATTCATTTGTCGGTCCCCAAATACACATTGGGTGTGTCACACGCAGGCCCTGGAGCTGCCGCTGAGATACGGCAGTCGTGTCCGCGTCCCTGGGGTTCTGAGTCAGGGACAAACACCCTCCCACCACTGCCAATCACGCTGCCACCCCAGACGGGACGCGGCCCGAGGTTGGGCTCAGCGGCAGTGCGGTGCGCCGGGGTCTGGCCACGGATGACGGACCGGTTGCTGAGCCACTACAAACGTCTTCATGCCCTTGGGTCAGTGCTTTCGTTGTTTTCAGCAAGTGACCCAGAAAGAACCTCAAGTAAAATGGTCATTACCACAGGAAAAATTCACAGTAGCAACTAATTTAAAGAGCCTGCCACTCACAAATAGGGGAAAGACACAGAAATAGGATCCCTGATCAGTCGGACAATGTAACGTGAGAGCCGTGGGAGCTGCTGGAAGCTCTGAGGGAGAGCAGGCACCCGGTGCCACGCGGGGACAGAGGTCCGCGAGCTCGTCCCACGACATCCAGCAGCCGTGGCCTCCAGGGAGCCAGCAGCTGGCAGTGGGCAGGGTGACAAGGGCCGGGCGGGGGTGGGGGTGGTCCTCGTCACTGAGATCTCTTCAGTGACTTCTGAGTTCATGTGGCACGTCTCCGGTGCCCACTCACAGCTGTCTGTCGGGGATGGCAGAGGGCCGCACTCTGTGCCCGTCACACTCACAGCCAGCGAGGCTCTGTGGCCTCAGAACCCTTCTGACCACAGCTCTCCGAGCTGTGGCTGGCATCGTGCCAGCCGACAGGGTGCTGGCAGGTGGAGGCGGCACGGACGTGTGGGGCAGCTCAGGGCTGGTGCCCGGGCCCGGTGACCCCTCCTGACCTCTGGGGAATTGGTCCACAGCTACTTACGGCTTAAGCGTCCTCAGAACCCTAATGCCCATCTGGATGGCCTTCTGCGAGCAGGCCATGGTGACCTCGTGGTCGTGCGCCGCGTGGGCAAAGTGGGCCAGGCGCGTCAGGCTCTGCAGCTCCACCAGGGGGTCCGACCAGTTGCACTCGGAAGCCATCTTGACCACCTTCCGGGCAGGGGAGAAGGGGCGTCTGTGGGTGTGGCTAACGTGCCACCCAGGGGGTCCCTGCCCTAACTGAGCACAGAGAATGCACACGGGGAAGCTCCCGCGTGGAACGACTCAGGCGCCCTGTGGCAGGCGGGGGGCGCTGTGGTGAGGACGGGCTCACTGGATGGGGGCCCCAGTCCACCCCCTCAGGCAAGGCCCTCTGACCCTGGCTCTGTTTCTGAGCAGCTGATTCAAACAAGCGACCTCAGGTTGGGGGCTCCGGGCACTGATGGCACCTACCTGGGCCAAGGGGGGCACGGAGAAGTCCATGAGGCCCAGCCCGTTGCAGGAGTGCATCTCCAGAGCCACGAGGACTCTGGTCACATCCTCGCTGGGACTCTGGGGAGGGAACGCCAGTGACCGTCAGCCTGCGGTGCCGGGACGCTGGGGCCTGGAGCCCTGGGACACGCCAGCATTGTGGCAACAGCCAGAGCCATGGGTGTGTCCGCTTCTCTCCAAGGTCCCTTTCCAGGCAGTGAAGAGGCAGCAGGCCTGGTGGCTGGGCAGCGGGGTAGGGCAGTGCCCACCCTGACTGCCCACGACCTCAGAACTCACTTCTGTGGGAGCTCGCCTCCCCGGGTCCCTGCCTGTCCCCCGCCCTGCTCTCCCTTCAGGAGGGAGACCAGGAAAGACCTCAGCAGGAGGCGTCCGCCCTGCAGGCCCCGGCGTGGGGCTGAGCCTCCCGAGCCCCTGGGTGCTTCCAGACACCGGCCTGCACCCGGGCCCCTGGCACCTGTTCATCCACGCCCAGTCGTGGCCCGATCTGCTGCTGCAGCAGCTGCTTGGCCTTCACCCAGGTGGCGATGAGCTGCTGCCGGGTGTTCAGGGGCATCACCTCCTCGGGCACAGTCCCGTTGCTCAGGTTCAAGGCAAACTCGCAAACCTGACACAGACAGGGCCTGGCTCCTAAGACCTGAGTTCTGTACAGAGAAACCTGAGCCAAGACCCAAATTCTTACAAATAAGGGGACCTGGCTCCTGGTCAGACCAACAGTGGTTTAAATAGGCTGCAGGCCTGTAGCTGGGGGCCCAGTCCCCACATGTCCCTGGGGGGCCCCACCCGGGCGGCCCTGCAGCCTGCCCAGCCTCACCTGCCTCGCCTCCCTGTGAACATCCGGCTCTCTGTCTTGTTTCCTGTTAGAGAAATGCGTGTTCTCTGCCCCTCCTTGCCCTGCACCCCATTTCCTGGAGGTAGAAAACCTTAGCCAGTTTCACCTCCTAACTGTCACCTGTCACCTGCACTAGTTGAGTGAGGGTTCCGCCGGCCTCACGCACAGCGGGGCTCTACCTCCACGGCGGTCCTGACTTCTGCGCTGGCTCCCGAGTCCAGTGGTACATGAAACAGGTTGGGGCGCACGGGTCTCTTAGATTTTTCCGGCACTTGGGTTGGAATCCAGTTGATAATCAAGCCTCGAGCCAAAGTATTGCAGAGCGTCCCCAGCAGAGTGGGGTCCCTGGAAAGAACATGCCGGCCGGTGAGGATGCCATTGCACACACAGACTTGGGCACGGGAGTCCGCGACAAGGTGCATTTGCTGGGCTCCCATCTTGCTGGGACGAACAACAGGCACCCACATCCCCAGCACCAGTTCTCAGACCTGTTCCCAGGCCTCCCAGGGGACGCTGGCTGTGACGAGGGCCGCTCTGGTGACGCCTGGGTCCCCCGCCATAGGTGGCCTTCCTTGCGAGAAGGCGCCACAGTGCCAGGCAGGCGGGCTCCTCAGGGTGTCACTGGGGGGGACAGAGAGGCCCACCTGGCCTCTGCGCCCGCTGCGGGGTGTCCGTTGGGCCTCGGTCGTGGCCCAGACACTTCCCTCTGTTAGTTAACAGATCAAATGGGCTTCAGCCAGAATGTCCATGTTTCTCACCGGCAACGTTATGACACTGAAACATTTAAAACCGTCGAAAATGGTCTCTGTGCTTCCAGACTGGGGACTCAAAGTGTGAGCTTGGTCTGTGACGGAAACTCACGGCTGCTGCTGGGAGGGGAGAGGATGGCGTCTGCAGACCCTGGCGGGGCGCTCGCAGCAGAAGGATGTCCGTGGGGCCTGCTCGCCACCCAGCCAGGGGCTCTCCATCTCGGGGCCCGTGTTCACTGTTCTTTGTCCCTGACAAAACCCGGACATGTCTGCTCATTCCGACCCTGTCTAGCATCTCTACTTCAGTGTCTGATGACAAAACCTAAAACCTTATTGTTTGGACTAAAAACCAAACCAACAAAAACACACAAGAAGAATCTCTAAATATCATCCTTTTTGGGTAAAATTCTGGTCCATCTTCATTTCAAATTTCTTTATATATATATATATATATATATATATATATATATATATATATATATATTTTTTTTTTTTTTATGAGAGAGAGAGAGAGACAGCGTGAGCAGGGGAGGGTCAGAGAGAGAGGGAGTCACAGACAGAAACAGGCTCCAGGCTCAGAGCTGGCAGTCAGCACAGAGCCCGACGCGGGGCTCAAACCCACGAACCGCGAGATCATGACCTGAGCGAAAGTCGGACGCTTAACCGACTAAGCCACCCAGGCGCCCCCATTTCAAATTTCTAATTTTAGCTCCTGAAAGCAGCAGTCTCGCGTCCGTCTACATAAGAAAACACAGACGCAGATTTCCAAGCTTCTCCAAAACCGGATGAGATCCGTACAAAGGAATTGCTCTTTGCTTCCTTTTCCCAAGCAACTTGGGTCTCAGCAAACCTTCCCTAAAATCGCTCTGTTTGGAACAGAGTGAGGCGGGCGCTGTCCCTCACTGTGCTGGGCCCTTGCCGGTCAGGCCCGAGGTCCCCTCCATCATTACAGGCCTCCCTGCGTCCCAGAGAGGGTGCGCGCCTGGCTCGCGGTGCAGAGCCAGCGAACAGAGCCTGCGATGCTTGAGTGGCACTCCCTGTGTCCCCACAGGCTTCCCCCTTTCCCCATGTCACCATCAGTCACTGGCAAGTGATAGCCCTGCTTTTTCTGGAAGGACAGCACTGACGATGTCGGTCCCGGGGCCCCACCCCCAACAGTGGACCCAAGAGTGACCCCACAGTCCCCGGACCCGAATCAAGGTCTTCGGCAGGACGGAGCCTGCCCCGGAGGTCAGGACTGTACGCGGCACCCGCCGGCCACACCCACCCGCCGTGGCCCGTGGCCTTGACGATGCTCAGGAGGTGGTCCAAGGCGTCCACCAGCTCCCTCTGCCTCCCGGCCACGATGAGGTGGTGGTTGTGGTTCAGGACGTAGACCACCGCGTTCTGCACGATCCAGGCTTCCTGGGTCTCTTGTCCGATGTCGGCGGATCGCAGCCAGCTGTTCATGGCGCTCTGAGACAGACCCTCGATCCAGTTCCTGCGGGACGCACCTCGTCAAGCCCTTCCTTTGATGCAAGACCTTTCCCGGGCGGCATGAGGGGCTGGAACCTGCAGTCTGCCGATGGCCCACTCTCTGCGGAGTCTGCCCCCCCCACCGCCTGCTGCGACCACTGCGTTCCGCCTGGGACCCCGGCGCGCCCCGCGCACCCCGTCTCCCAGCCGGCCGGCCCCACTCAGCGTGAGTGTCCACGTACACAGATCAGACCCTCTCCCTTGGAGCCCTGCCCGCAAACCTCCCTTCGGGCCGCAGGCGGCCGGCTGCCTGCCCACCTCTGTGCCCACTCCCACCCTCGCCGTCCGCCCCGTGTTCCGAACGCCTTTTCTATGATGGGCTCTGTGAGTCAGGGGTAGTGCCTGCTGCACACTTCTCTCCGTTATTTCACAGACGCCTCGTTAAACCACTCTCAGTGCGTGGGCAGCACAGAAGCAGCCGTGGGGCAGGTGTGGCCCGGGTCGTGGCTGACACAGCCTCCTCCTCACAAGCAGGGCCCTCAGCAGGCACGCCACCCCCCAGCCACGTGGCAGCGGGCTCCGGGGGGCAGGGCCCACGCTGTCCTCTGCCCGATGCTCTCCGGACTGAGGCAGACATGCTGCACGTGTAACAACACCAAGACAAACGTCACCTGTGCTCAACGAGTGGCCCCACCCTCCTCCTGCCCATGGGGGTCGGGCCATGTCCCTGCGCTGCGCCTGCCCGCTGCCTCCCCAGAGCCTGTTCACCAGTGACGGAGGCTCAGTGCCCCCAGTTAGCGGGTGGGCAGTTAGATGGTGTGCGGCTCCCGCAATATGGGACTGATATCCACTCATTACCACGTTCTGTTTTAAAAATATTAAGTTTTTGATTAAAGACGACTAAAACCTTGATACCACTGATAATGGAGCATCTCAAATTCACGAGCATTTCTGTTGTGGCATCTCACGTGGTGCATTTTCTGGGATGTTCTACACAAAGTGCTCTGCTCACCATACCCCTGACTGAGGCCCAGACACCAACAGCCAGCCACCGACCACGGCTCGTCCTCTGAGGACACAAAGAGCCACTCCCCTTCCACACCCTCCACCGCCTACACCATCATCGTATCCCATTTTCACTAATAACAAGATCTGCTAACTGGAAGGAGCCAAAGTGTGGATTCTACTAAAACACACTAGACAAACCGTCCTGCCACGTCGGCCACACACGACACAAGCCACACCCCCGGTCTGGGTGCAGCCTCCCAGCGCCTCCCCACCGCTCCGTGGCTGAGCGGTGCCGGCAGCGGCTGGGGACGCAGCAGGGGGCCCCTCCCCAGGCCGCCTACCGGTACACGAGCCACTGTGCGTTGTCTTCGGGGCACTCGAGCGTGTAGCCGGCCGAGTGCTGGCTCAGGTCCTCCGGGGGCGTGGGGCGGTCATTGAGCTGCACACCTTCTAACTGCAGCAGGTGGACGGTGGCCTGGGAAGGAAGTGCGGGGCGGGAGAGGTCACAGGGGCCCAGACGCGGTGCCAGGCGGGAACGCGTGTCCAGGCACAAGGAGGGCAGACCCCGTGATGGCCCCATGGTCCTCTCAGCCTCCAGCGGCCTCCCCCCACCTCACCCACAAATACTGCTTCCCAGGAGGAGACGGCCCCTTCTAAGAGCCCCGCGCAAGTCACGCCATCCTCAGACACAGCCACTTCCGAACGTTAGCCAGCACCCGGCCCACGCTGCACCCCCCAGCCCCTCACGAGTGCGCAGGGACACGGAAAGCTGTCGAGACCACTGGCTCGGCCTGGCAGGTGGCCCTGCCCCCACTGGCTCTGTCCTGGTTGTCACCGTGTCCCCAGCTCACGGCAACGGCCTGGCACTGGAGGCAGACAGTCCCCGAGGAATTCAGTGAGTGCTCTAGCCTGGCTGTCCCACTGACCCCAAGAGAAACGATCTAAACCGGCTCCATGGGTTTTGGTTACAAAATGTCCTGGACTGTGGCCCCCCAGGCAGAGGCGCAGGTGGTACGGCCGGTGCTGACCCCTGACGCACGCTCTCTCCGTGCCACCCAAAGGGCTTCTGATGTCCACGCCGATGCAGCCCCCCGACGCGGCAGGTCACCTTGCAGTCCCCAGGTAAGTGAGGGCTCCCAATGCAGAAACGACTTCTAAGGAAGGGCTTACATAGACACGTGACCACGGGGCACTTGCACACCCAGGGAGGCGTCCCTACTCTGCACCTGCTGCTTCGGGAGGCGGGTCTTCAGGGGTCAGCGCGCCCACGCACCTCTGCGTTGATGAACCCCACCTCTGCGAACTTGCGCAGCAGGGTGGGGGACACGTGCCGCTGCAGCGTCACTTCTGACGGGCCCCAGCTGCCCTGGGCTGAGCTGTCTCCGCCCCTCTTCTTCTTTCCTGAGGGAAGAGCAGAGCCCCAGCCTCGTCACACACGGTGGGGCTTTTCCAGCCAAGAAGCAAAAATATGAGGCTTCCTGGCCCACCCCCAGCTCTGGGGGCGGGTAGTGGTCTCTGGGAGGTCCGTCTTTTCTAGAAGGGGGTGGAGGAAGACCCTCCCCTGCAGCGTGTAGGATTCCCTAGGCGGGTGGCTGAAGCGTCCCCAAAGCCGACTCAGCAGCAGCTCATGTGTCACTGGTGTCGACAACACACTCTTGGTTTCGCTTGTGTCCTTCGAGAAGCACCCGGCCCCGCCAAGCCTGTAGCACCCACGTCCTGGGTCTTCTCGGACCCCCGGCACGTGCCTGCGCCCTAACTGTCCGCTCCACCAGCCCGCTGACCCATCCCCAGAATCTGTGCTGATGTGGGGGGCCATCCTCCACCTGCACTCCCAGAAAAAACCCCGCCCACACCCAGCCCCACCTTGGCCGTCACCTCTGCCCTCTGGCCCCAGGCTCCCAACATGGCGGCCAGGTGCTTTCCCTTGCGGAGCCTCCGATGACCCCGAGGGACCAAAGAGCAAATGGACAATCGAGAAACCAGCTGCACAGGGCCCGGTGGGTCACAGTGACGCCTGGGAGTCACTCCCACCGCAGGGCACCTGGTTCCAGCACGTGCACACTGACCTGAAGCCCAGCCTCTGGCAGAAGCTGCCCTGCCGACCGTCGGGGCTGCCGGCCCCTGCTGGCCCCTGACCCCTGCTGGCCCCTGACCCCTCCTGGCCCCCGGCCCGGCCCTTGTCCACAGCACCAGGGGCAGCCGCACAGCCTCTCTGGCTCAAGGTTTCAGAGAACACGGGACCCTGGCTGGCGCCCTGGCACACACGTGGAGCCCTCGTACCTTTCTTCAGCCGCACCTGCTTCTTCACCTTGACGTTGTCGTACAGGAGGCAGAAGCGGCAGGCTGTCCGGCAAATGTCCCACACTCCCTGCTTCCGGGCGACTTTGGCGAGCTCGGCCCAGATCTGTATTCTGCTCACCGAAGAGCCAAGCGAGAAGAGTGAGCACGGGCGTCGCTGGCGACATGGAGTCACCCAGCACTACCTTGGGGGCGCAAGAGCCGCAGCCGTTCTCACTCCTAGGGGGCGCCCCACGTGCTTCCCTGCAGGGCGGGGGTCCCGCTAACCCAGCCGGGGGCGCCCCTCACCCACCGTTCCCTGGCATTCTGGCTCCCCAGTCGCCGCAAGTGCCCCGCGGCTTTGTCTATGCTGATGATGTGGTGCCGCGCCTTTGCGAACAGGTAGGTGAAGCGGCCCCTGCTCTTCCCTATGGAAACTGAGGGTGGAAATGGAAATGCAAGGCTGAGGGCCCACGTCACGGGACCCCAGGACTGGGGGCAGCCGCACCTCAGTCCCGGGGACCCTGGTGCCAGGGGCGTGGCCACCACTTGCCACAGCCCAGGGCTCTGCCACCGGACAGGTGTGCGCTGGTGCCTCTCTGGAGGGCTCTCCCTTACACCAGCCCCTGCCTGACATCCCCACCCACTCCCGCGGCCTGGGCCTCTGACCTGCCTGGTAGCGGAGGCTCCTTCTGGCAACAGAAGCTTAAGCTATGGGGAGCCTGGCTTCCCGGGGCGCCGGGCTGCCCGGCACCGTCGCACAGAGCGTGCAGCACGTGCCTCGTCCCTCTCAGCCAACACGCCAGCCACCTCCAGGAGCCAGCTGTTGGAGCCCCCCCCCCAAGTCCCTCCCCCTGCAGGGCTGTGCTGCCTTCACCGGCTGGGCTATCGGCAGGCCAGCAGTGCTCTTACCGATGGGAGCACGTCAGGACGGCCACCACTTCGGGGCGCTGTGGAAACCCAGGGCGGCACCACCACGCCCGATGACCACGGCCATACAGGACCACAACCCAGAGCTGTCTTCCCCCCTCCACTGGGGCATGACAGCCGGGGAAGCGGAGCCTCGGGGCGGGGCGGCCTTCGGGGGGACCCCAGCCAAACACCCAGGCTGCCGTCCACAAGAATGTGATGCGCTTGGAGGGTCAGTGGGCAGAACTGTGCCCCCCAAAAGGCATGATGGAGCCCTAACCCCCAGAACCTCAGAATGTAGCCTTATTTGTGTCTTCACAGGGAAGGGGTAAAGGCTCAGAGGAGACTGCCATCCGCAAGCCACAGGGGGCACAGCCATCCCCTCCAGGCTGGTGCTTCCAGAGGCCCAGAGCACACAGGCCCAGACCTCCCGCCGGCACAGTGAGGCCCCTACGTCGGGCTGAGTGTCTGCCCAGGACGGCACGGGGCGCAGGTGGCCCCTGAGCAGAGTCATCCGGGGCTCTGTCAGAGAGGGCGGCCCCCACCTTTGGCCTCGTTCTCGCCGTCGAGCACAATCTGGAAGGTGTCGGGGGCCAGAGCCAGGCCCGCGTTCACCAGGAGAGCCCGCTTCTTCCTGACACTGTCTTTGGGGATGGCTTTCTTCGCCTGAAACAGGAAGGGTGGGCTCTCATGCTCTCATGTCCCAGAAGCGACACCGTCCCCGGGCTGTGGGGTCCCGCGGGGCCCCGGCCGCCCAGCGGCCCCGCAGAGCCCACGACAGCACCTGCTCGATGGCCATGATGGCCTTGTCCTCGGCACGCTCAGGGCACTGGTACAGCACGGTGCACAGACGCAGCCGGTTGAAGGCCATCTTGAGCTCGTCCTGGTAGAGACCCAGGCCGTCCAGCAGCACGGCCTTCCGCAGGTGCCGCATGGCCGGCTCCAGCCGGTCCGCGTCCTCCTCGATGTGCGCCATCTCCATGTGCACTTGGCAGCGGAGCAGGACCATGAGGCTGGGGGGGGGGGGGGGACAGCACAGCGTCACGCAGGCCGAGCGCGCCGGCTTCCGGAGACGCCCCGGGGGGAGACGGGTGGTGGGCCTCCTGGCGCCCCCGGCTGTCCGCCATCCCGCCTGGCCTTGCCTGGAAGACTCACACGTGGGGGGGGAGGGGGGAGCAGCGGAGGCCCCGCGGAAGCCAGAGCGCCTGGGGCCTGCGCTCAGGGGCCCAGAAGCAGCAGCTCAGCAGACCGGGGACAGCGGGTGAGGCCTGCACGGGTGGCGCACGCAGCCGACGCGGGAAGCTTGCAATGCTGCAGCCACCTCGTCGGTCCACAGGCACCGCCTGCCACAGGCCCCACGCCCACTGCTCCCTGCGGCCCTCTCCCCCCACCCGCCACAGCCCCCCACGCCCACTGCTCCCTGCGGCCCTCCCCCCCACCCGCCACAGGCCCCCACGCCCACTGCTCCCTGCGGCCCTCCCCCCCTGCAGCCTGCGACCGGAAGCCTGCTCTTTGCCCCTCTGAGGGCGCCCCTGCTCAGGTCCTAGCAGCTGGGGCGCACCCCCCAACTCAGAACAGCCACCATGCCCCGCGGGCCCTCACTCTGCCTCTGCCAGTGTCTACAGATGCCAGTGAGGGGTCCTCACAGCCCTTCCGTCCACAGGAGACGGAGAGCGCGTGTCAGGGGGTCAGGCCCCAGGACACCAGCATTGGCAAATCCAGCAAACTGTCTGAAGACCAGCCCCACAGGACCCCTGAGCTGACTGAGCGCAGATGGAGGCGTAAACGCTGCGCGGCCTGCTGTGAGCACAGGGACAACGAGGCAGGAAGTCCCTGTGGCCCTGGTTAGTGCCGGGAGACGCTCCACGCTCCTCGCGGAGAGCCAGGGTCCCCCGACTCTTGCACGCGAGTCCAGACGGNGCCCCACGCCCACTGCTCCCTGCGGCCCTCTCCCCCCACCCGCCACAGGCCCCCACGCCCACTGCTCCCTGCGGCCCTCCCCCCCACCCGCCACAGGCTCCCACGCCCACTGCTCCCGGCAGCCCGCCATCCCTGCAGCCTGCGACCGGAAGCCTGCTCTTTGCCCCTCTGAGGGCGCCCCTGCTCAGGTCCTAGCAGCTGGGGCGCACCCCCCAACTCAGAACAGCCACCATGCCCCGCGGGCCCTCACTCTGCCTCTGCCAGTGTCTACAGATGCCAGTGAGGGGTCCTCACAGCCCTTCCGTCCACAGGAGACGGAGAGCGCGTGTCAGGGGGTCAGGCCCCAGGACACCAGCATTGGCAAATCCAGCAAACTGTCTGAAGACCAGCCCCACAGGACCCCTGAGCTGACTGAGCGCAGATGGAGGCGTAAACGCTGCGCGGCCTGCTGTGAGCACAGGGACAACGAGGCAGGAAGTCCCTGTGGCCCTGGTTAGTGCCGGGAGACGCTCCACGCTCCTCGCGGAGAGCCAGGGTCCCCCGACTCTTGCACGCGAGTCCAGACGGCAGCCAGGGCCATGGTTCTGGGGCGGCTAACGAGGACGTCTCGGGTGCTGGCCGAGGCCACTCAATGCCACACACGGCAGAGGGGCCACCGAGGGACACGGATGACCGCTCGCTTGAAGAGGCGAATGAAGGAGCCACAGCTGCCGGAACAGGAGGGATGGGCAGGCGAAAAGGACTTAGAAATGAGCAATTTTCAGGCTTAACTTCTTCCTCCAACTGTGGTAACTGCCGCACGTAACACCCATCAAGTGGGTCCAGATCCGTGAGGCGGCATTACGGGCATGGGGCTCTGAGCAGCACGAGACCGCGGCCCCCGGAGGAGAGTCAGGCGGAGCCCACGACTGCCAGCCCTGCCTGGGGCCCGAGCACGGGGCCGCCGTGCCACGGAGACGACATCGGAGCACAGCCTGGGCCAGTGGAGTCCTGGGTTGGAAGGAGGGAGAGGCTCTGTGACGCCAGTAAAAGGACGAGGGGAGGCTGTTCGGCACCAGATGTGGTTAACTCATCACCTTCACAACAAAAATCAACGTCTCCCGAAAAAACGACAGACCCAAGCACCCCCAGCGCACTGCCCACAGCGTCCGGCGCACAGGTGAGCAAGGACGAGAAAAATGTGACCACAGTCAGGATGCAGGAAAGGCCACATGCTGAGTTTACCAGATAAATCCTTTCATACACCTACTAAAATACAAATACATCAAAAACCTGACGGAGGGGCGCCTGGGGGCTCAGTCGGTTAAGCGTCCGACTTCGGCTCAGGTCATGATCTCGCGGTTCGTGGGTTCGAGCCCCACGTCGGGCTCTGTGCTGACTGCCAGCTCGGAGCCTGGAGCTGCTTCAGATTCTGGGTCGCCCTCTCTCTCTGACCCTCCCTTGTTCATGCTGTCTCTCTCTCTCTCTCTCAGAAATAAATAAAACATTTAAAAAAATTATTAAAAAAAACCCTGAAGGAAAATAATACCAAGGACAGAACAGATATTGAATCTCAGAACTAGACTACGTGAGAGGAAAGCGCCTGCTCAGGGCTCACAGCAGACAGGGCACGGTGGAAGCGGATCACCTCTTGCACAGACAGACCCAACAAGATCTAAAAACGAGCGGAGACTGGGGGACCTGTGGGCAGTATTGATGGCACACTCGCAACTCAAGTCCCAGGAGGTAGAGAGCGAGAATGACGAAGTCACAGCCAGTAACTTCCCAAACCTGACGAGATGCCCTGTCACATATCTATCTGAGCATCTAGCAAACCCAGGAAGGAGTTTTTAAGGCTCCGAGGAATCCCATGACCACGACTCTGAAAACAGAAGGAGCAGGAAGACTCACGGCATACAGGGCACCCTGGAAACAGCGCACATTTACATCAGGGACTTGATGGCCAGTAGAACCACGTCTTCAAAGTGTTTAAAGAGAATAACTACCTGCAAACCCAGAACCCAGTGACCAGCAAAAATCCTCTTCAAAGACGGGGATGAGGCAAAGTCATTTCAGATCTCTGGGCTGTGTCTCTATCTCTGGGCTGTATCTCTATCTCTGGGCTGTATCTCTGTATCTCTGGGCTGAGATTGGGTATGTGGGACGGAGAGCCAGCAGGACTGGCCAGGAAGGAGGTGAACATAAGAAACCATTGTTTCCTTCTGAAATCTTCTCCTTTTTGATGAAAACCACTGGCTGCCAAGACCAGACGACAGCACTACCAGGTAAGGGGACGTATTTTCACAGAGGAGGGGTCATACTCCATGGAGGAGGATCCACGGCCACAACCGCGTGGAGGCAGGGAGCAGGCTGAGCGGGGAGAAGGGCTGGGGGGCTCTGCTATTGGGGAGCGGGGACGTGTGCGTTAACTGGCCCTCATGGACTCTGCTGCCTGAGGACCCGTGGTATCGGCCCTCGAACAGCCCACTGGAATCACAGCCGAGGAAGTGGGCAGAATTCTAAAAGTTAACCTCGAGGAAGGCAGGGAAGGAGCCGCAGGAAGCAGAGGGAAAGCAGAAGACGTGAGGCCGAAGAGCAGCTCAGCAGGATGCAAAGCACATTGGGGCCGGGGCTCCAGGCCCCGCACAGGTGGTCACAGCAGGTGGAAGGCAGATGGCGCCATCCACCCGACACGTGCTTCCAGGCCGTGCTCAATGCTCTCAAGGTGCACGGAGGACGGGGCTTGAAAGGACGGAGGAGGAGGCTGTGCATTGGGGGGGAGGGGGGGTTAACACTGTGCACTGGGGACTTCAAGGCAGGGGGTCACTAGAGGCTAAGAGGGCGTGAGGAGACACGGCCCCAAACATGAGGACACGCGTATGGAACCACGCAGAGCAAAGCTCAGGAGCCATGGGGTGCGAGGCACCAGGCCGCTTGGAGCCGGGGGCCCACACGCCTCTTGGCACTCGCCAGAATGAGCACACTGCGCCCGGGGAGCCCTGACCTCAGGGTCAGCCAGCGAGGGGACATTGACAGGAGCTGCCAAGAGCCCTCCAACAGGTACGGACGGTGCTGTCAGCTGCCATCAGGGCTCCTCACGTCGACCTGCCACGGGAAGTGTGGCAGCCTGGACGCCTCGGCCAGAAGCAGCCACTCGGCACAGCCCCGGGCCCAGGGCACTCTGCTCTAAGGAGTGAGAATACCTCCCAGCTCCCAATGCATCTTGTAAAGTCAGCATGACCTTGACATCAAACATGACAAAGGAAGAAAAATGCAGGCCGATGTCCTCACGAACATACACACAAGACCCTCTAACAGAACATGGGGGAAGAAGTCGAACCTGGCAATACATTAAAGAGTGAAAAGATTAGGACGTCGCAGAGCATGCATGGTTGGTTCAACCCTCAAAACTCAATCAGCGTAATTCAGGAGGTAAAGAACGAGGGAGAAAAGGCACATGGCCGTCTTCACAGCCACAGAAGAAACACAGTTTGGGGTTAGAGGGCCAGTCAGCAATGTGGATGCTCCCACGCGTGCGTCCTACTGTGGGCAACCGGGTCTCAATGTCAGGAGAATTAGCAGAGAAAAAGGGGGAAACTACCAGTTATTTAAAAAACTCAGGCATATATGAAAAAAAGCTAAGAGGAAATAAAAAATTTACTCATTAAAATTAAAAGTAGGCCAAAGAAAGAATTAGAGAATCCGTGAAATCAAAGAACTGATGGAATCGAGGACGCTGGGAACATGGCACGTGTGCTTTCCAGCCACCCCTCCCCCTGCCCCCTGCACCTGTGCCCGTGCCCACCTGGCACTGCCCCTGCCCTGAGCAGTCCAGGGCCCACCAGCCAGGACCGCATCCTCCTCCCATGGCCCAGCCTGTCCGTTCTAGGCATTTCAAGGCCCCCTCTGCCCTCCTGCTCTCAAATGGGTGCCGCCTTGGGCTCAGGCCCTGTCCGCAGCCCAGGTGACCTTCCTGGAGGCCCCTGTGAGCCCTGGACGCACAATTCCCACTGCCTCTCAATACAGGGGTGTCTGTAAGGGGCTGTGGGTCCGCTGCCAGCCTCCCGCAGCTCCGTCCCTCCCGGCCCGTGCTGGCTTCCATGCCACCACCTCACCTGCGCCCCAGCACCAGCTCTGTCCAGACTGTTCTCAATAGCAGAGCAGCCATTTGACAACTGAAAATACCTCCTCTGTGCCAAGTCCTCTGATGACACCACCCCTGGCATAATCCCTGTCCCTGGAGGACTTGACAGGCCCCCCTTCTGCACGTATGTAGGACTCTGCTCCTGGAGCGCCACCCTCCCAGCCCCCAGGCTGTCCCCTCTGTCTGGGCGCTGACAGGAAGTCAGCTTCTCAGGGACCCATGGGGACCACCCTGCCTAAACAGCACCCATCGGCCCTCCCTCCCTGCTTTACTGCCTTCTTTGCACTTAGCACAGCTGGCCTACTGAAAGCAGAGTGGAGATGGAGGTGCGGGTGTAGATGCGGTGCAGGTGCAGGTGTGATTACAGATACAGGTGTAGGTGCAGGTATGAGTGCAGGTGCAGCTATAGATGGAGGTGCAGGTGTGGGCACAGGTGTAGATGGAAGTGGGTGCAGACGTGGGTGTAGATAGAGGTGCAGGTACAGGTATGGATGCAGATGCAGGTGTAGGTATAGATGCAGGTGCAAGTGCGGGTGCAGGTGCAGGTGTGGATGCAGGTGCAGGTGTAGATGCAGGCGCAAGTGCGGGTGTAGGTGCAGGTGTGGATGCAGGTGCGGGTGTGGATGCAGGTGCAAGTGTGGATACAAGTGCAGGTGCAAGTGCAGGAGCAGGTGTAGGTCCAGGCGTGGTATGGGTGTAGATGGAGGTGCAGGTGCAGGTATGGATGCAGATGCAGGTTCAGGTGCCTGGCCGTACCCCTTCACTGCATGTCTCTAGGGTCTGCTGTGGTGCCTGGCTCAGGGCAGGTGCTCAGCAAGTGTGCGATACATGCCTCCAACCTAGTGAGGAAAGAAGGCGCAGGGTCCCGACCACCTCAGCGGCATCCGGAAACCACAGCACCCACCCTGACCTCTGAGTGCGCCTGACACCAGGTGTTGGATGCTGGCTTCACACCACATGGTGGCCATGGCAGGGTCTTAATCGGGGCTCGCGGAACACAGACCACATACCAGCCCTGGCCTTTGGGGGTCGGACCTGATCTGAATCTTGTTCGCGCGTGCCTGCAGGCTCGGGGACCCTCGGTGCTGGAACCCAGACTGGCCCCTGCTTCACGTTAGCCGGCAGTGGGGGAACGTCAAGCCCTGCGTGGGGCACACGGATGGCTTCATCTCAGTGGCAGCCACGCAAGCCTGTCTGATACAGGCGGGGTGTCCTGCTTGCATCACTTCTGGGGGAAATAAACCGGATTTCATCTTTTTCCTTGTGTTGAGGGATTCTGCCTCGACCCTCTGCCACCACACTTCCCCCTCTGAGAGGACCACCCAGGACAAGGACGCATAGGCCACCTGTCCACCTTCTCCAGGATGTCTGCGATGCTGGTCAGCGGCTTCCGCAGGTGGCGTCTCAGGTTGTGCTGCAGCAAAGGGAGACACATGTTCCACTGTGTGGTGCACACCACGTGGACGACTCTCGGGTCACCCAGGCGCACGGCTCGCTGGAGTGCGACGTCAAGTCTCTGTATTATATTCAGCTGGGCCTGCAAAAAACACACCAACCGGTCTGTGAAGCCCAAAGGCGAGTCCCACGTACCACGTGAGGAGCCCGGTCCCGAGCCCGGGAAGCTGGAGGGCCAGCCAGGACCCGAGGTCTGAGCCCGACTGTGGCAAAGGTCCACATCATCTTTTCTAGAAGGGACTGGTTGTCTATAAGACGCTTCCTTAAAAAGCCTGCAGTGGCCTCTGCACACCCACGGACATGGTTCTCCTCCATGAATTGATTCCACGCAAGCGTATTTCTCAGCCTTACACGTTCATTGTGGCCTATGGCCCATTACGTGGACAACCCAAAGAACACGTCCTCTGTTCTGTGCTGTGTGTGCGCTTCCCACCAGGCAGGCTCTGGTCCCGCATTTTATGTGTGGAACCGGCTTACCAGCCCCACACTTCCCCAGAGCCCACGGGGGCTGCCGCAGGTCCTAAACCCGGCCTCGTCCCACGGCTTCTGGCCACCAGCGGCCTCGGGGCCTCCCCGCACTCTGCCTCATGAACGGGTGCCTGAAGCTGCCTGACTGTGCTCAACACGCCCCCGCTGCAGCCCCCAGGGCCACACGCACTGCGGCGTCTGCTGCCGTCTCCTGATCAAGCGTGGGGCCGAAGTGTTCTCTGTAAACCATCTTCTAACGGCGTTTGTCAGGCGCCTACCGGGTGCCAGATGGGAAGGTCACTGCTAGAGGAGCCGCGTGAGCAAGTCCGAGAGGAACACGAGTATCCCGCAGGCAGCAAGGAAGGCGCCACACAGAGCCCGCCGCAGGGGCGGGGGACAGGGCCCTGTGCCCGGCCGCGGACCTCCGGGCCCCCAGGCTCTCTGCAGTGCCACGAGCCAATCCCATGAGTGCCTGCTCTGGCTCCAAATCTCTGTTTCAACAGATTCTTTTCCTTTTAAGCTGCAAAATTCTCATTAACGAACGGTCTAAAATAATCTCTGGATTCCTTTTTTGGCAGTGGCTCCCGCTCCAAATCCTACCGCTTAAACAAGCAGATGGGAGAGTGAAACCAAGCTCACGTGGCCACCAGGTTCAGGCAGCTGCTGCCACGCCAGCTCCTCAGAGAGGCAGCTGCCTCCTCTCTGACTGCGGGTGGGGAGGGCGGCACACGTTCCCCGCTCCCAGATGGGGCCATCACAGTGAGTGAGCGCCGCACCCTCCCGGGGGAGGGTCCCCTGAATCCGCCCTCCTGGGGTCCTGCCTCTCCCCACGCACTCAGGGATCCCTGCGTCCCCAACAACCTCTGGCAACCCTCTTCTGCCCACCCCCGGGTCCCTGCCTGCCCCCCTTCCGGGCAACCTTGCCGCCCACCCCGAGCCCCTCAGTTTCCAGGCCCCGTGTGGCTGATGGCCCCACGCTGTGGCCCAGAGCGACTTTTGTCTTCCTGGACACGAGTCCGGAGAGCAAAGAGCCATGACAGGGACACGAAGGCCTGACCAAGGGCAAGTGCATGGGGCTATGGGGACGAGCACCTGCACTGGGGAAGTGGGGGGCTCTGGGGAGCTCATCCCCACCCCCCACCCCTGCCCAGGCCACGTGACCCCCACACACCCACTAGGTGAGCTGGCCCGGGAACCGGGGGGGGCCCGCCTGTGGGGACCCTGCTGGGGAGGCTGTGTACACCGGGGGGTCCGAGACACAGGAGGCTGGCCTTGGGTCCCCAACACCCGGGGGCCAGCAGCTTCCTGGACACGTGTGAAACCGCTCAGTGACGCTGACTCCCGTTCAAGAACTTACCTCAACAGCTGTTCGGACGTAGATTTTCATTTTACTTTCGAGTTCTAAAGCTTCCAGTTCATACTCCAGGCACTCAATTTCAATCAGCTTCCCAGGGTCCTGTGGGCACACACATGGGGATTTGTAGTGAAAGCAACCACACGTTCATTAACTTCGAGCAACATTTAAAAATATTAATGCACTAGGTAGAAACGCAACAAAAAACCATAAGGGAACACAAACATATATTTTAGAAAACTTAAAATTGTTCCCCTAAAATGCAAAACCTTAAGTGAGAAAGCAAAAGTAGCTTTTTTCATTACCTTTTTAATCATGGGGGGAGTAAGTCCATTTCACTGGCCATTGAAATTTTACATAAATACACCAACTTCAGATAAACTCTTATAAAGTGTGGCAAATGTGTTTTCTCCGACTTGGTCCCTGCTGGGCTAGGATGGGAGCGCCCTGCTTGGCGGAGGCGGAGGTGAGTCGCAGCGGGAGCCCGGGGTTTGTCTGGGTGGCATCTACTTCACTTTTCACAAAACTGCTAAGCTTTTCCAAAGGCGCTGTGCCATTCTGCGTCCCCAGCGGCTGGGCGGACAGAGAGCCCCACTCGCCCACATCGTCCCCCCACATCTGGTGCGGTTGGTCAGTCTGTTCATTTCAGCCATTCTAGTAGGCATGTCGACGTGACTTAATATGATCGCCGGTCTCTGCCTCGGATCCCAGCACAACGCTCCTGAAAGCCTCGCAGTTTCCCGAGTGACAGAGCACCAGAAGCATCTTTCCTTCTAAAGGCGTGACTCCCGAGGACTCCTGGGTGGAGGCCGGTCACACAAAGACCAAGCCATGATTAGAAGCTTGGGATTCCCAGCCCTGCCTCTGCCTCCGAGAGGGGGGGCAGGGGTTGGAATTGGATTCATAACTGGATCACACCTACGTGAGGAAGCCTCCATAAAATGCCAACAGTGCGGGGTTCAGGGAGCCTCTGGGTTGGTAAACAGGTGCGTGTACCAGGAGACTGAGCCACCAGCTTGACAGGGAGCCACTTGGTTGGGTCCCTCCCAGACTTCGCCCTCCGTCTCTTCATCTGGCTGTTCGCCTGCATCCTTTATCACATTGTTATATAATGTTCTTCTTTGTCTCATTACGCTTTTTGATTTTTGTATTAGCGTAGCTACCCCTGCTCTATTGGTTACCATTTGCATGGAATATCTCTTCCTGTCTCTTCACTTTTAGGCCACGTGTGCCCTTAAAGTGGAAGTGAGTCTCTTGCGAGCACATAGTTGGGTCTTTTTTTTTAATCCATTCAGTACTCTATGTCTTTAGATAGAAAAATTTAACCCTTTATATTTAAAGTAATTGTTAATAGGTAAGAAATTATCATTGTCATCTTTTCTGGCTCTTTTGTACTTCCTATGTTCCTTTCTTCCTCTCTTGCTCTTTTTCCTTTGTGATTTGATGATTCTCCATTGTAATCAGTTTTGATTCTTTCACTCTTTTGTGCGCTGTGCTTCACAGTTACAAAAAGCTACATACAGCATTTATAGTAATGACAATCTATTTTAAGTTGAAACAACTTCACTCACAAAAAAACTCTACCTTTTTACTCCTCCCCCACTACATTTTACGTTTTTTTATGTCACAATTTACATCTTTTAATGTTTTGTATCCATTAACAAATTATTGTAGTGAATTATTTTTAATAATTTTGTCTTTTAAACTTTATACCAGGTGAAGTCACTTACACACCACCATTACGAGTATTCTGATGTGACTATACACTTACCTTTACCAGTGAATTTTATACTTTCATATATTCTCATGTTACTAATTAATATCCTTTCATTTCTGCTTGAAGAACTCCATTTAGCATCCCTCCTAAAGCATGTCTAGTGGTGATGAGCTCCCTCAGCTTTTGTTTGTCTGAGAACAAAAGCTTTTATCTCTCTTTCATTTCTAAAAGACAGCTTTGCTGGATAGAATATACTTGTTTGGCAGTTTTTGAACATCATCATCCGATTCTCTCCTGACCTGCAACATTTATGCTGATAAAGCCATTGAGAGCCTTATGGCAGTTCCCTTGTATGAAATCAGTTTCTCTTGCTGCTTTCAAAATTCTCTTGTATAATAATTTTTATGATAAAACTCTGACAGTTTTATTATATCGTATGTCTTGGCGAAGTCCTCCCTGGGTTGAACCCACGGGACCTACGAGCTTCACGTACTTGGATGCCCATGTCTCTCCCCAGATCCAGGGAGACTTCAACCATTCTGTCTCTAAATCAGTTTCCCACCCCTTTCCCTGTGCCTTCTGGGACTCCCATCATGCAAACACTGTTTTGCTTGCTAGTGTCCCGTAATTCATGTAGGCTTCCCTTATTTGTTTTCATTTTTCCTCCTCTGGGTAATTTCATATGACTTTGAGTTTACGCATTCTTTTTTCTGCTTGATCAGGCCTGCTACTGGTGCTTTCCACTGCACTCTTCACTTCCTTCACTGTATTCTTCAGCTCCAAAATTTCCATTTGATGATTTTTTATGATTTCTATTGCTATTGAACTTCTCATTTTGCTCACATGTGGTTTTCCTGATTTCACAGTGCATCTGTGTGTAGCTTGCTGAGTTTCCTTAAGGCAAGTATTTCAAACTCTGGCAATTCATAGATCTCCATTTCTTTGGAATAGGCTGCTGGATCACTGTTGTGTTCCTTTGGTGAGGTCATTTCTCCTCGATGTGCTGTGTTTCTTGTGCTGATGTCTGTGCGCTTGAGGAAGTAGTCATGTTTTCCAGATTTTGGTGGGGAAAGACTTTCGCCTGTGGGTGGGCAGGACGTGGCGGTGACAGTCCTAGGGACGCTCCAGTGTCACGGTCTCCGTGCAGCTCCACCAGCCGAGGCTGAGGGATTCCGCAACAGGCAAGGCGGCTGGTCTCTAGTTTCAAGGTCTGCGGGAGTCTCTGGTGGTGAAGGCTGCCGGGGGCCTCCCGACCACTTTTCCTCCCACAAGGATGTCCACAGGGGTCCCTTTTGGCACCCAGCCTGGGTCGCAAGCACCCTAGCGGTGGCGGCAGCACTAGTGTCTGATGCACAGGCGCCCAGGCAGCAGCCGTGGAGCCGAAGACTGTGCTGTGGTGCTTACACAGTGACGGCAGCCCTGGGCTCCGGGGTGTGGCTGGCTGGCAGCGGCGACGCTTTGTGTGACACAGGTGTCTGTCACGCAGCCACGAAGCCAGGATCTAGATCTAAGAGCTTTAAACTCCACTCCAGCAACTATTCTCAGCCCTGTGTAACCTCTGAAGATTGTTCCCTGCTCTCCTTGCAGGGGCGCTCTCTCCAGCTTGTGTACCTTCCTCTGACCGGAACTGGGGGGGGTGGGAGGGGGACTTGACGGGGACCCGGTAGCTCTCCCGCGCTCCCCTCGTGCAGTTCACTCCTCTCGGCTCCTCCGTCCCCTCAACTGGAGCGCCGTGTCCTCCTGACCACCAGCCCCTCCTCAGTCCAGGCAGACGGCCGGCTTCACCCGTGCCCCCTCCGCCTGCCTAGAGTCCGGGCTCCAGGCGGCGAGCTGGGTGACACCAGGACGCACCCATTTGTTGCCCTCCTGGTCCTGCTTCCCGTCATGATCTATCATCCAGTGTCGTGAAGTACAGTGTTTCACATGCTGCTTGGTTTTTCAGTGGTTTCAAGCTTGAGAGCCCTTTGTTCCGTCTTGGCCAAAAAAAGTTCATTTCTTTCACTATGTCCCTTTCATATTCTTTCCCCTTTTAAGAAAAGGTTCACTTGTTTCTGAACAATCATATAGAACTACGTTTGTTTTTGCTTTATTTTTGTTTAACTCTCCTCTTAAGAGGCTGGTGCAGGATACCAGGCCTTACAGTTCAGTGCTGGAAACCTCCCCCTGCCTCCCGGGTTACGCCCCTTCCCTCTTGCTGACGTCTCCCCACACTGATCCAGGGGGGACCTGGCCTGGGCCTGACCCAGCTCTTGGACCACGTTGCCCGTCACTGCTGGGAGACCCTACGAAGAAAGAGCTGGCAAATCCTGGAAATCTGAACATGCCCACTTTAGAGAGGCTGTCATGGTCTTAACATCCATCCATCTGTTCAACAAAAATTTGCGGAGCACCTCTCCTGGGCCAGGCACCACGCTGGGAAGGGGGTGACAGCAGCCAATAGGCCAGGCAGGCCTCTGATCTCCAGAAGGCTGCACCCCCCGCAGGGAAAATGGACATCGTCATTAGGTATAAAGAAGGTCAGGATGTAAAAACTAATACTTTTCCAGGAAGGTATGGCAATTCCAAACCTATATGAACCAATACACATAAAAAATGACAAAGATATGATGTAAAACTGAGATATTCGTATTTTAGGGAAAGACATAACACATTTCTCATAGAGATCAATAGAGCAAACAGATAAAAGTGAGTGAGAATGTAAAAATTTGAACCTATTAGCACTGAAGTGCTATTTAATGGATCCATACAGAATCCTGCAGAACCACAAACGTGACTGATTTCCCTTCTGCCAAACCAAGTGGCCTATTCTCTGCACCGCGAAAGGGGCGGCATTCTAGAGCTTTATTTGGAGGGAGACTCGCGATATCAGCTGGTATTAAGACCTGCAGGTAACCCGGGACTAAACACAGCAGCTGCTCCATGGACAGCGCAGGGAGGGACCCCCCCCACCGCCCACCCCGCCACCGGTGAATGGTGCCACTGTGCGAGCGAATCCTCAGTCCAACCCCCTCATCCTCGCGGGCAGCGGCCACGGCCTCTGCTGGTCACCAGGCGCCGTGTTCAACACTGTCTGAGCCGCCACTAAACGAGCCTCTGCTCTGCGCGAGAGCCCGTGCAGTTTCTTATGTTAAAACACATAAACCGGAAGCCGGAACTCTTAGAAGCTTCTGGTGGAAATGTCAATTTTTCTTTGGAGGGCAATATTGTGATAGGTATTTTAAAATCTTAAAAGTGAAACTTCCCAAGTAATTTCATGTCAGTGACCTTATGTTAGGGAAAAACCCTAGTGCAGATAAAATCTTTAGGCACAAAATGTTCATTGCAGCCCTTCATGTAAAAGCAAAGAGAAACAGGATTTAAACATCCAATAATGAGGCTGAGGAGTAAGTTCTGGATCATGAATATAATGAAATAACGGTGCAACTGTTCAAGTGAATTGTGCAAACAGCCAGCGGCAACACGGGCCAGTACCAGTGACGGCAAGACCAGCGCATGATGCAAACGTCACGTCGTCCTGATGGCGTGATGTGCACGTGACAAAAACTAGGAGGAATTTACCAAGCATATGATTCTAGACCTGCCCCATGAGGGGCGTTTGAATTCCTTTCCCTGCTTTTTGCCTCTTACATTCAGATCCCAGGGAGCAGGTGCCGTGTGGCCGCGGTCATGGGTCACTTACTTGGCTGCTGATTTTCTTCAGGTCGGAGATGCAGTCAGCAGAGATCTCCTCACACTTCAAGGTCAAAGAAAGATGAGCCAGTTCAAAAAGCAAAAGAATTCTGGAAAGAAAAAACAAGAGGGCAAGGCATGGACAGAGGCACACACCTTTATGGGAGAACAGGCTATCGGTCGTTGTTCAACCAGGGTGGGAAATACAGCGAAGATCCTATGGCCGTGGTCCCCGAGCTGGCCCCTGAGCCTGGTCCCCGCCAGGCCCTGACACAGAATTTGGTGGAAACCCAGGGCTGTGTCCACTGGGTGAGCTGCTCCTCCCGCGGATGGGGACAAGTGCAGCCCGGGGAAGGCGGTGCCACAGTGTCACTGTGTGCGTTACCAGAGGACTGGGTGGTGACACGGGGCACACACACAGACCCCTGGCTAAGAGCTGGCCTCTTCCGACCACGGGACAAGCATCAACGCTGCCAGTCCAGGCCTTTGTGGGAAGTGACAGGCTGTTGCTAAAGTCTGTGTCGAGACGCAAAGAACCGATGACGGCCTAAGCAACTCCGACACAGACCGAGGCTGGGCAGCCAAACCACCTGACGCAGAGACTCAGTGTAAGACGGTAGGTGTCAAGGCCCCGGTGTAAGACAGGCCCCCTTCCTCGACCTTGACACTGACATTCCAGACCAGGCAGTTCTCTGTCGGGCAGAGGAGACCCATCTACACACCCCTGGCTGCCAGCCACGATGCCCGGAGCAGCCCCAACAGTGGCCACCAGCAGTGTCTGCAGATGTGCCAAATGTCCCCTGGGGACCAGCCGGTGGCCTTTCTGCCCTTCGCCAGCTAACCGTCACAGTTACCCAGGAGCCCAGACGGCTGATCGGCTGTAATAAGGGAACCAGGTGTCACCACCCTCCTCTCCTGGCACCGGGAATGGTGTGGCCCCCGCGTGCCCACCGTCTCTGCCCTCCTCCTCCAGCTGCGCAGCCCCTGGGGCTCCAAGGCCCTGGGAAGCTGGCCCCCTGACGTGCTGCCCCTTGGTGCTCCGGGGCTCCGGCCGCAAAGACCCGCTGCGCAGCTAAGAAGAGAGAGCCCGAGAGCCCGTAGAAATCACTGGTTTGTAGTCCTTTTTTGGTTTTAAACTAACAGAGCATTTCTCCCCACCCAGAACTGTAAGCACAGAAGCCGAGGTAGTGGGGTGTCAGCTGGGTCCCTCACCGAGCGGGGGGCCTGGGTCTTGGGGCAAGGAAGGACTGACAGCAAACGCAGCGAAGGCAGCACTGGCTGGCGGAACACACGGCCCAGGGAGCAGAGGACACGGCCTCTCCTCCGGGCCCAAGGCAGACGATGCACGAAGCCATGAGGGAACCCAACCGGACGCTTCTGTACGTCAAAAATTATTTTTAAAAACCTACAAGGGGCGCCTGGGTGGCTTAGTCGGTTAAGCGTCCGACTTTCGCTTAGGTCATGATCTCGCGGTTCGTGGGTTCGAGCCCCGCGTCGGGCTCTGTGCTGACCGCCAGCTCAGAGCCTGGAGCCTGTTTCAGTCTGTGACTCCCTCTCTCTCTGACCCTCCCCTGCTCCGCTGTCTCTCTCTCTCTCTCTCCTATAAATAAATAAAANCTCCCCTGCTCACGCTGTCTCTCTCTCTCTCTCCTAGAAATAAATAAAACATTAAAAAAAAAAAAAATTTTTTTTAAAAAATAAAAAAAAATAAAAAAAAATAAAAACCTACAAGGTACACAGACTGGGACAATTGATAAATATACTGGAGCTGGAGGGCTCAGGTTTTAAAATAAAAGCTTTTGTAAGGCAATCATAAATGACTGATACCCTGCTTACAAAAAATGGACAAAAGAAATCTATAGGAAGTTCAAAGGGAAAAATGCCGGTGAACATATGCCGAAACCCCATAATCGGAGGACCCGGAGGGAGGGCAGGCCGCCTCTGTCCGCCCCCTGAACTCAGCAGGAGGCCAGGCTCTGCGCCGCGTTTGCAGCATGCATCGAGGCCCCAGGGACCCATTTCTAGAAATTTCCCCTGGGGCTGCTCATCTGAGTAGTGAGACCCTCCAGGGGAGGGCCCAGGCCTCACAGAGGACGCCAGAGGGGACGCTGCACATTCGTGTGTACACATGCGTCCACATTCAAAAGTGTGTGCCTGGTTCCCACAACCTGAGGTGTCCTCACTGATCGTCTCAAGGGTCTGGAAACCCAGGTCAAGAACTCGGTTGTAGAGAATTTCGTGATGAAGAGACATGTTCGCCGTTTATATGGGGAAAGCAGGGAAAGCCTACGTGATAATAATGTTGAAAGTTTACACTGATTCCTTTTCAAACTCTACAATTATTACATATTAAAGTTGAAATTAAAAGTAATGAAAATCATTTTTAAAATGTGTACATACATCACCCCCTGCCCATGAAATCTGTATAAATTCAAGATGGAGAAGGAACTCATACACAAAGTGACAGTGAACCGGAGACGTCTTGTGGCCCCTGTCATCTGTCTAGACACAGGCTGCCTCTAGATGATGCCTGGTGATGCCACACCCCGGTGCCCACGGCCTATGTGATCCCTTCCCTTCAGTAACTAACTTCTAATCAACTGGAGCCCACAACATCGGGCAGAGGCCGCTTCCCTGATCACATCCCAAGCACCGCTGACTTCCTGTGCCGACCCAGGATCTGGAGCTGGCGCCTGTACGCACCTGCTCGGTCGGGCCTCGGAAGACACCACTACCTTGCCACCACCACCTTGATGGTAGCTGTGCCCGAGTCCCTGTCACACAGGCACAGGGAGGCCATCAGCACGCACCGCTGAAGCCCCACGTCTGTGACAGTTTGTGACGTAGCAGTTGAAAATAGACCCCGTAATGAGTTTTCTAGGGCTCCTGGGACGGATTACCACAAATAAGGTGGCTTAACAACAAGTTAATCTCTAATGTTCTAGAGCCCCGGAGACTGAGACCGAGGTATCCAGGACCACGCTCCCTCGCACGGCTCCAGGGCGAGATCCTTCCTTGCTCCGCCGGCTTCTGGTGTTTGCTGGCGATGTGTGGTGCTCCTCGGCTGGCAGCCATGGCTCTCCCGTGTCTGTCCCTATGGTCGCCCAGCCTTCTTCCCCAGGGGCGCCGTGCCCCAAACTTCCCTCTTCTCCCAGGGACAAAAGTCAGTGCTGAGGGCCCATCCTCGTCCACTGTGACCCCATCTTAACTTGATCACATCTGCAAAACCCCTATTTTGAGGTGAGATCACGTTCACCGGCAGCAAGAGTTAGGACTTGAACAGATCTTCGGGGACACAATGTCACCCATAACACCTCAAATCAAGTAACAAATGACAGACAGAGAAAGCATATAAATAACCACTGCGGACAACGGCCAGGATGTTCCATGCATTCGGATGCAGAGTTGATGAGAAAACCACCGGGAGCTCAAAACAGCAATTCTCAACAGCGGGAGCTCAAAGGCCTCCAGACACGGCTGAGTGTCCCACCTCGGTGATCCTCGGGGACGCGCAGACGGGCCGCAAAGCCACGCAGTAACCGCAGCAGCCACACCAGCGGGGTGCGGTTTTTATTTCAACACATACGACAATGTGACAGTGGGTTTGGAAGCAAACCCATCGTCTCTGTGGGAATGAACTAGAAGGTACATCCTGGTTCATTCTGTCTGCTTCCGGCTCAGCCACCCATTCCTGGGAATCCGACCCAGCACTTTTGCTAAACTCAGACAACACCCAGAGGGCTCTGACAGGCACAGAACTGAGACACTGAAATGCAGGGTGTAAAACGCTGTAATGGCCTGAGAAGCAGCTACACTTAGAAGTCACATTTGATGTCAAGAGTCCGATATGGAGATACGTGTCCCAAATGCTCCCCAAACGCACAAACCTCAAGACCGAAAAACCCAGTGGGAAGAAATCCACGAAAACCTGCACGACCCCTGAGGCTCCATCCGGTACTTAGCGCGGCCTTTTCTGCCTTCTGACATCGCCTACACTGACGAGGTTCGTACAGTGATTATGGGCGTGTGAAACTGGACACACTTACTTTTCCTCTCTGACTGCAGGGAAGCGCTGGTGATTGTAGTAACTTAACTGTTTATAGGTCTTCTTCAGAACTGTGTTGACATCTTCAGGTAACTCATTTTTATCCAGTTTCCTAGAATTCATTCAAACATTAAATAAACAAAATACCATGTCACATTTGTTCAGACTACCCCAAGAGAAACTCCCAAGTCTATGAACCTGTGTTTCCCACTGAACAGAAGGCCTAAAAAATCGCTTCTCCTTCGCTCCTTCACTCTCCAAGACGCCATCTCACACCTCCTTATCCTCCTCACTCCCAGAGCGAACCTTCTCCCTGCACAGCCCGGCCGCCGGGACTGGACCCGGGGCTCCCTCGTGGGCTGCCGCGGACATTCACTCCTCCCCGCACGGGGCCCTGGCTCGGCAACCTGCCTCCCCTCTCCTCACACACAGACGGGTCCTCACACGGACTGAGTTCACCACTGCCCGCTCCTTACAAGCACTGACCCCCTCGCCGCCTCCTCCTCACACACACTTCTGTCTTCACTGCTGTCACCTCACACTGATCTCACTGCCTCTCTCCACATGCAGAGATATCTCCACACTGCCTCCTCCTCACACGCACCGATTTGTTACCTGCCCTGCCCTCCCCTCGCACACTCACCCGCTCAATGCCATCTCCTCACACACTCATCCCCTCACTACCCTCCCCTCACACACTCACCCCCTCACCGCCCTCCCCTCACACACACTCACCCTCACCGCCCTCCCCTCACACACACTCACCCCCTCACCGCCCTCCCCTCGCACACTCACCCCCTCACCGCCCTCCCTTCGCACACTCAGCCCCTCACCGCCCTCCCCTCACACACTCACCCCCTCAACGCCCTCCCCTCACACACACTCA